TTCAATCGTTAAAGCTGCTAAAACCACTGGCAGAAATGTTGAAAAGCACAATAAAGTATTGTGCTTTCGAGTGAAATTTCGTGTTGTGGTGTGGTTTCTCGTTGGAATTTAAATCGATTTGATTGGCTACCTCCGATGAGCTCAAAATTATTAGCCAATCAAAACCTTCTCAATGAAATTCAACCAATCAGATCGATTGTGGATCGGTTTGGTTGGCGCGATTCGATTGCACCCCGTCCCCAAATTTGTATCAAATCGACAATACAGTGTACTGTAACTATTTCGACACATTGCTTCCGGTTAAAAAAGTTATTCGGATGCATGCTGTACTCGGCCACAGACCTTACGCTGCTTGTGTGTCCCATGCTAGGACCCGCGCGCTGTGGCATTTATCGTCTCGTTGAGCACATCACTAATGAGAAGTCGTGAAAGAACTTCTGAGCAAAAGAGCACGGAGAACTCTCAAGGTTCTCCAAAAAGAGCACGGAGAACTCTCAAGGTTCTCCGTGCTCTTTTGCTCAGAAGTTCTTTCACGACCTCTCATTAGTGATGTGCTCAACGCGACAATAAATGCCACAGCTAACATTGCCGCTATGGGTTCAGGCCCCAGGCTACTTATCTTCTCGGGAGCGTTAACCGTAAGAACAAGCGAATGCTAACGCAATAACAATGTGATTTGTTGGTGGGGTGGTGGGTCGTTTAGAAACAGCACAAGTTTTAGTCCACTTGCCTGTGCCAAGAGTACAACATTACACCACACGTAGCTCTAGTATGAAGTGGCTCTGTCGAGCCTGGAGAACAGTCTTCAGTGAAGACTCTTCACGAAGTGTCGCTACGAATTCGGGTCCACCGGCATTGTATTACAAATACGTCGACGATTTGGACGACGACGATGCGAAGGACGCGGATGAAAGGTGGTCCGTCGTGCTTCGTGCGTTGCGCTCCCATTGGACCGAGTGTACCACTTGTACTGGGCCTTCCCTCATAGGCCCCATCAACGACGCTGTGACACTGGAACGTACGCGTGAGGTCTAGCTACCAAGGGCAAATGTTGAATCTGTACACTTTGAAGGCAGCAACCGCGTGCTCTCCGAGTACCGCGCATGGAGTCAGTACCAACCAACCCTTCCAACTGGCGCTTCACTTGGCCCGAAGACGGCATGTGCCCATGTCAGTTGAAGTTGTTCGTGCTAAGGTTTTTCGTCGTGTAACTGCAAGCACCACTACTGCTGTAACCGCCAACCAAAGCTTGCTTGCAACCGTCGTGGTCCACCATCTGGAGGGGCCAATTTTCTAAAGCACACGCCACACTACTTCCTCATTGCTCTCTGCCGACGGTCGATTCAATCACGGTGATCAAATCTTCCACGGATTGCGCCACATGATACAGGAGGCCAGTAGATTGCTCCCCCTCTTCTTCTGCCATATAGTGCTTATTGCTTGTACAGTACATTATGCACCTCATTTCTCAACTAACCATGAACGTGTCGCAGAACACTACCTTCAAGCTCAACTTGGACGCGCTGAATGGGTTCGACCTGGACCTACAAGAAGCGTCCCCGGGTGGAGCTGACACTGATTTCTTCCTCACAACTTCGTCTCCTATCAATGCCCTGAACGAGATTGCATTTGAGTGGCCCACGACACACGACGACGAACTGGACAGTCTCTTCACGACTAAAAACGATGATGCCGCTGGTCTTGTCCCCGAGCTCACCCTCTTGCAAAGCGAACCCAGTTTGGACGAATTTCGCGATTTTACAGTCGTCTTCATGACCTCTGCTCGGAAGACTCGTCAGCCCAAGAGAAAGCTATTCAGTGACGACGAAATGGAAGCTCGATACTGTCTGCGACAAAGCGACGTGCAATCTCCCCAGGTCCCCGCGTCCCCACTGACACATTATAGCCGCCAACGGCTTGAAATCGCCGAGCTCACTGTGGTTGCCGAAGCCCTTGAGCGGCAACTCCACGCCATGCAAGCCTCCAGAGTGTTGCACGGGTTTACTGCATACGAGAACGCGCTCAAGGCAAAAGCCGCTCTACTTGAGGCCCAAGAAGCCAATATGAGCCTCAAGCATCAAGTGCAAGGCCATCTAAGGCAACGACAACAGCTAGAAATCATTGCCTTCGGAAGTGTTATAGGTGAGGCTGTATAGATCGAACGTGCTTTGACGTGGATGTCAATCGTATATATACGTATCGATTGGTACCTGCGAGCATATCGTAAACGCACACACATCACAATGAAGTACCAGCCAGTACTGTAAGTAGGAACAGTTCGTGAAGACTTGCTCGACCAGCGTAACGTGAATGAATCGTAGGAACCAGTTGTGAACCTTGCTATTTCACACTGTCAAATGTCCATACTTGGAACATCTTTGTTGTACGCATTTTCAACCAATAAGACTGCAAACATATACAATGAATATAAATCATGCCACACGCATACAAATCACAAGTCAAACGAGTTCAATTTTATTCATCGATCCAACAGTTTGGTCACAAACGCCACCACACATTCACCAACTCTGGCACGCAAGAACCATGGGTCTAGTCAAGCAGCAATCGCCGCTTCCCACTACCAAAGAAAGCAAGCCAGCTGTTAATGGCAAGGCCCAGGCGAAGAAGCGCGCTCGTGACGACGAAGAATCCGACGACGACGACGATGAAGATGTTGAAGAAGGCGAGGACGAAAGTGGCGACGAGGACGCGGAGGAAGGCGATGACGACGACGGCGATGAGGAGGACGACGACGACCAAGATGACACGCCCTCGCGAAAGAAGCAAAAGAAGCAAGCTGATGACGACGACGACGACGATGATGACGATAACGATCATGACGACGACAACGTCACGTTGAACCAAGACGATTTGATCGGCGTGGACGCGAGCAACATCATTCCTCGGGCACGACGGCGTGCGGCGGTTGCAGCGATGGCGCTTCCCATGAACGACGAAGAAGATGAACACAAGGAAGCCCCTCAAAGCGACGACGACGAAGAGGCCGAGTTCTAAGCCGCGAATAGGATAAATAACCTTGTGGCCATGTGACTTTTTCCTGGTGGTCACCGACAATGTCATGTGCTCCTTCGCAAAGATCTTACAGGGCCCACCCACGGTTTGGTTGCTTGTGTTACGTAAACTACTGTATTTGTCGTTGATCTGCACCATGAAATACAAAACGCGAATATAATTCTATAATTCAATATAATCTTGAATCAATTATACAATTCGAATATTTAAATAAATTCTTCAAATTTAATTCTACGGAGGTACGACAAATACGGTAGCTATGAACAGTGATGTATATTACACGTACTGGTCGAGTTTGAAGCAACAACGTCAGTCTCCACCATATCATTTAACCACAAGAGTAAAAAGCCCCTTCAAACTTTATTTTGAAAATATACGAGCAAAAACCACAAACACTACACGAATGTAAAACTGCGTCCCGTTCGAAGCCCATGTGTCGTCTATATATATATTGTGAATTCGCTATAAACTTGCAAAATTCGCCTGGTTTACAAAAATCAATATTGAATCACGCCGAAGTTCTGATTGGTTGAATATAATTGACCTTTCTGCAAGAGCCAATCATATCCACTTAAAAATGGATTAGCCAATAGCGTCGATTCGTGATTCGATTCGGAGGCGAGATTATTCGATTCGATGGGATCTGGAAATTCATGTCGAAACCACAATATATATATATATATACCGCCGAAAACCCGACTTCTTACGTCGACACGATTGATTCCTTGTTCTGACTTATTAGGCATATGCATTTGCTTTGTGCTTGGGCACAAACTGGAACCCTTCCGGCACTGGACCCAGCAGCATCTCGGAGATCTTGATCCAGTCCACGGCCTGATCGCTGGCCATGAGCGTTTCGAGGTCGTTGCGGCCATACTACCATATATGTACCACCACCACCGTTGACAAACACACCCGTGAATAGATGACGTGACATCACGATGACGTACATATAGACCCGGGCGGGCGTTGATGCGTTGCGGCAGCTGCTCCAAGATACCTACGGGAATGTACCGGCACAAGAACGATTGCCATTCGAGAAGGTATCGACGGGTGCGGTTGATGCCCTATAAAAATATTCCAGGATACGTTTTTGGTTGCTGCACTGTTCTAAGGGAATTGAGTACATTCATTAAAGTACCTTTTGATCCGACCCCCAATGCTCCATGCCAAATTTCACGAAATCCTTGAGCAAGTCGAGACGTTCTGACGCGGAAATGTCAAAGTGGCGGCGTTCTTTAATCTCGGTGGGCAACCACGGCTAACGTTACAAAAAACACGAAAAAACAGTGAAAATATTGGCCAAATGTACCAACAAATAGGACATCCACACAGCGGTGTACCTTGATGAGGGCCCCACGAGCCAACATGCACGTATCCAGCACCCCCGAGCTCAAATGTTGATGGAACTCCTCGTAGGACAAGACATCCCCGCCGCCAATCAGCGCCATCTGCCGCCCGCCGTCGCCGGCCTCGCGGGCTTTCGCACATTCCTCGACGTACACCCAGTCGGCGCTCTTGGAGTACCGCTGCAACCGCGACCGCCCGTGGATCTACACCCACCCTCTCGATATAAGCACACAAATGGCAACGTGTTGTACCGTGAGCGCGTCCACATTGACATTGGTCCGCATCGCATAGTTGAGCACGACGCTCTGGTTCATAAAGTCGGCGCCAGATCGCAGCGACTGCACCTTCGGCACCAACTTGTGCGCCAGCGGCTGCTTGTCGGACCATCCCGTGCGCATCTTGACCGTCAGCCCCGGGCGAGTGGCGCGTCCAAAGCTGCCGACTTCGATGCCGGTTAGCGCCCCAGAAATCACTTCACACAACTTGGGCGTGCGGTTCATCAAGGCGGCCCCCGCGCCAGCCTTGCACACTGCACATTCATCCGTATCGCATTTCATGTGAGATATGGTGGGTGGATTATATGCGATACACAAGAGTGGTGTGTGGTACGAACCCAAGTCGATGGGGCACCCCATGTTGATGTCGATAAAGTCCACCGATGTCTACAGATATTGACGACGACCCGTGATTTTTCGATCCCAATGTTTGCCCATTTCCTGGGATTGGTTGAAATCACCAAGAAATCGACAAAGCAGTAAAATGTGATTGGATGAAATCGAACGCACGTTGCAATACTATGATTGGCTAAAATGAAAAGAATCATCTTCACCACCCCTTCAACTTATACTACTCCAGAGTATTATATTTCGCAGGTGGGGCGATTCTTGGGCGGCAGTTAACCCCGCCAGAGGACACTTGGAGTCGAACAACATACACAAAAGACAAGGAAAAGGCTACACGATCGTACCTCGCGAGTGATGAGCTCGCACACGCGGGCGGTTTGGTCGCCGAACGCCCCTGCAATCTGCACACCAAATATGTCTTCGCTTTCGTGGCGGCGCAGCAGCGCCCACTCTGATTGCTACAAGTTTGTCAGCTAAAGAAGCCCCAAGAGAGAGCGCGATGGACCTGTCCTTGGAGCAGATTCGTGGTCATGGCCATCTCGCCGCACGTAATGTCGGCGCCCCACTGCTTGAGCACGCGGCGAAACGGCAAGTTTCCCACGGTTGTCAGCGGACCAATGTACACTTTGCCCTTGAAGTCGACCGGTTTGTGGTCAGGGACGTTTGGGTTGTCAACCGTGTCAATCTATGGATATCGATAGTATCCGAAGATTGATGATGATGACGTCATCATCCAAGCGTGACGTTATCCCACAAAATATGAGATACGGACCTTGAAGTCGCGCGCTTTTTTGGCCATGCCGCCCTTCTTCTTGTACGTCGAAGCCACTGATCGAAACGGATACGTGCTCTTCCGCAACAAATTGCGGTTGTCCATGCTCAAGTCGTTGGCTTCCGTGGCCTTGAAGTCCGCTGGAGTGCCCAAGTTGACGTGGTTCGCGTCCACATGCGACAGACCGTAGCAACAGTTGAGCCCATACCGGCAGTACCCGTTGGCAGCAAACACCGGACACGTGTCCCCGAGATCCTTGGGTCGGCGCTTGAGGAAATCTGCCACGTCATGACTAAACTTGCACTTGTCTTCGAACGAGCAGCCTTCGCCGGCCGCCACACCGCGGCAAAGTACCGTCGACGGGTCGTCAGTGGGGTCGCGAGGGCGCTTCTTGAACGTGCCACGTTCACGTTCTTCGTTGTCGCTACAATCACGCATGAGACTCGGCATGAACGAGATATATGAACGTATGTACTCTTTCTTTTCCAAGATGCGGCGAAATCTACCACATGATCATGTTAGACTCCATGGACGATTGGTGCCGTTGATACGTACTCGGGCTTGATCGGGGCTTCTCCACGCCTCTCTTCGCTATCCACAGCAGAGATTTCGACTTCCGTTGGCAAGGACACAGCAGCTAGTTCTTTGGATTCGTCCATGTTGAGCTCTACGACAAGCATGAGCTACGAATGACCATGCATGGACACACGGACACCGACCTTGGCCTCTATTTGATGGAAAATGGAAATCGATGGTTGGGCAAGTGTCATTGGCTGGAAAAGAACCGCGAATACACCCGTTGTTACCTTGTTCAAGTACATTTCAATTTAAACTATTTTGATACATTTTCCCATTCGTCAGATAATATGTCCGATCATATAATTTGAAACAAATTCATCAAATCAGTTTCAGATCATTTTTTCAAGTGTCGAAATACTGTACTAGCGGTGGTACTATTCTACCGTTATTATTAATATTACTGTAATAGTATTAAACTTGAAGTACTCTAACTATTTCGACAGTATTAACGTTAAGCTTAGTGTATTAACAGTAATACTCTAATGGTGGTGCTCCTCCTCCAACGAAGACTTCTTTTGAAAGGTTCCCCGTCTTTGGGTCAATAGTACTTTACCTCTGCGGTGGCTGTTGCCGAAGGTCGAGTGGTTTGATTTTTGGTGAGTTTGCCTCAAGCCTTACATTAATACAAAGTATCTGAGTATTGCAAGTTGGACTGTGACGTGTATGTTGACATATCGCGCGACGTTGACATCCCACTTTCCATGTCTAACTAGGTGCATGGACACTTCAGCCGACGTCACATCGAACCATGCTGCTCAATGCATACCAGTGTTGCTGGCGAACGCCATCACATTCTAAGTGCTACAAGTTCGGGTTGTTTTCTGGGGGGTTACTTGCCTCGTTTTGAACTCCGTGCAAAGGCAATCACGACATCACATATGATATACAGTATGTAAGCCCCGGTTGAGGAGTACCGTCAACATGTCAAGTGCCGATCAGTCTCACCAATCAAGCCAGAGCTTGAAGTCCAAACTTCAAACCTCAACATCAACCCCCCACCCACCCCCTTTGCCTTCCTACAGTACTGACAATGGCCAAAATAACACCTCGCCGCATGCAAGGTGACTGCATGCAACTTTCAACCGCCGTCCGAAGAAGCGAGTGGCCGTCCAACGCCCAACAACGGCGACGTTAGATGGGGCTAAAAATAACTTGTACTACCACCGCACCTGATCGCCAGGAGGATGATCTTGGCATTGTCAATTCACCAATTACAGCGAGAGCGTTGCTTGAGTGTCGACCATACATGACCTACCGCCGAGTGTAGAGAATTTGAACAAGGAGCTATGGTCGAATACTACAACTTGTACCCCAGTTTTAAGCTTACAGTTATATAGTTCGATTCCATATTGACCAAAACTGCGAGCATTGGTTTCGCATTCATACAGTTGCAAAATGTTCGAAATCCACACTATCTGAGTTCGCTTGAAACAGCATTGCCAGCAGGAGCGTGACATGTTGACCACAAGGAAAGACTGGGCAGCAAGCAGCCTCGCCTTCCCGCATCCGAGAACAGTCATTTCCATTTTGCCATCATGAAGGCTACGTCTTGCATCTTGCTAGCCTGCGCGGCTTCGGCCCGTGAAATTCGCCACGAAGAGTTTGCGATGGCGTATCCCACAGCGGCCCAAGGCACCGCTCGGCTCCCCACGCACAACTTGGTGGGTTATTGGCACAACTTTGAAAACCCATCTGGGAAGACCTTTCCGTTGAGCCAAATCAGCAAGGACTGGGATGTCATCAACGTCGCGTTCGCCGACAGCTTGGGCAGCGGGGCGCTAGGGCTCAACATTGACCCGTCCGCGGGGTCGGAAGCCCAATTCATCGCCGACATTGCGGCGCTCAAGGCCAGCGGCAAGATCGTGGCGCTTTCCCTGGGCGGGGAAAAGGGGTCGGTCACGATCAAGGACGCAACCGAGAAAGCCAACTTTGTCAACAGTTTGTACGGGCTAATCACCAAGTACGGGTTTGACGGGATCGACGTCGACTTGGAGAACGGCGTGTCCATCGGTGCCCCCATCGTGCAGAACCTCATTGACGGCATCAAGCAACTCAAGCAACGCGTGGGTCCCACGTTTTACTTAAGCATGGCGCCGGAGCATCCGTATGTGCAAGGCGGGTATGGCCAGTGGGGGGGCCTCTGGGGCTCGTACCTGGCGATCATCGACGCACTCCGCGACGACTTGACCCAGATCCACGTCCAGTTCTACAACAATAACGGGTTCACGTACCCCGATGGTCGCTACCTCAGGGAAGGCACCGTCGACGGCCTTGTGGGTGGCAGCTTGATGCTCCTGGAAGGATTCACGGCGCAATGGGGCCAAGGGTTCAAGTTCAACGGCCTTCGCGCCGACCAAGTGTCGATTGGAGTACCGTCTGGCAAGTCGTCGGCTGGCCAGGGTTTCGTGACCGAAGATGTGATCCTCCGCACGCTCACGTGCCTCACCAAGGGCGTCGGCTGCGACACTATCAAGCCCAAGAAGCTGTACCCTGACTTCCGAGGACTGATGTCGTGGTCAATCAACTGGGACCGTTTCGACAACTTCCCCTTCTCCAAGTATGCTCGCCGGGCGTTGGATTTGCTCAACGACAATGTCACGCCTACTTCTGCCCCCCCTGCTACCTCCACCCCTGCCCCTAGTACTCCTGCCCCTACTACGAGTTCTACTACTTCCACCCCAGTGACCACCAAGGCCCCTGCAACCCCAGCCCCCACCACATTGGCCCCCGCTACAACTATCCAACCCCCTGCCACAACGACCCCGTCGGGTCCTTGCGGTTCGTGTACTAACTGCTACTACGCCCCCACTCAAGCGTGTTTTGTTGGCTGGACTGCCCAACAATGCTCCAGTGTGGCTACTTTCCAATGGTGCGGCGCCGCATAAGTTAGTTGTACTTGTTGTCCAATGTATTTGTTCAAGTAGTAATGTTGTGCGTTTCGACTTCGAAAGATGCTTGTGCTTTATCATCGACCGCATATAATAGTTTTGTTGGAGCAGAACATATTATATTCCCTTCAAGTACTGTAACTGTATACCATACTTAGTATACCGACCGGTACATGAAATTTTGGACGAGGACTATTCTGTCAGGTCAAAGCCTATTCTGTACGATTACTCATGCAACACTTGTCAGCACATTGAAGTTTGTACTCAGTGAGTAGTACGTACTGGTATGTATGTAGTGGTATGTCGACGCGAACCCAAGCTGCAACCGTCCAACTCCTAGATTTGAAAACCTGAGTTTTGCCACATAGAATCACCAGCAAAACATAACAGCTGCCCTTCATTGTGGCCATCACTTCGTCCAATGCTCCAATCGCTCCTATCGAAGAGTGATTTGACATTGCAGTTTGGGTGCTGATCGGACGGTGAATACCAACCAGTATGTATCAGGCACTGAAACAATCCATGTTCATCTGATGTTCCACAATCGTGTAACCAAAACAGAATCAGTTTCCGCGCTACTGCACCTCGAAGTGTTGGATTGCTCGCTTGTTTAACCGCCTTCTAGATCTCTCTCAATCGCCAGTGAATCAAACCATCGAGGGGCGAACAAGGTCTCCTGGGCCAAATCGGCGACACTGTGCTACCCTCATACAGTACTTCTGCTTCATTGCAGCGAACGCGCACGTAGCTAGTAGTACTCGTACAGTGTAATACAGCCATTCTATGCATTTGCATTTGTCGCACAAGTTCAAGATGTCTCGCCAACACTTGTATGATCAATGATGACTGAGTTCGGGCTAAAGTGGTCTGATGTCAACGAACATGTCAACTTGAATTTCAAAGCCATGTGTTCAAGTCAGTCGGCAATGAAAACCGCGTAGTTAGGTTTCGATTCATTTTCCATTTCACTCTGTGCCTCAACTATGAAGACTGCTCTCTGCCTTGTCGCGCTTGCTACCCTCGCCTCTGACGTGCTGGGCCATGGCCGCCTCCTCAAGCCGCCTCACCGTGGCTACATCGGTCGCCTCCCCGGCTACCAATTCGTGCCCATCAACTACTCCGACAACGGCTTGAGTGCCGGGGGCATTGGGGCGACCAAGGACGGCCTCCACGGCGTCTGCGGAGACCCGTACACGGACAAGGTGCCCCGCCCCCACGAAAACGGCGGACTCTACGGCACGTTCGCCACCGAAACCTCCCGCGCGATCGGGGCTTGCTACAGCCCTGGCTCGACCGTGGACGTGACGGTCCAAGTAACCGCCAACCACATGGGGTACTTTGAATTTGGCTTGTGTAAGCTCAACAAGAAGGACGACGTGGAGACTGAAACGTGCTTTCAAACGTTGGCGCAACCGACGGGGGAAACCCGCTGGCCCGTGCCCGCGGGCAACCTCGACTTCACCATCAAGAACGTACTGCCCAAGGACGTGACGTGCGAAGGCGACGCCCACTGCGTCCTCCGCTGGCATTACGTTGGTGGCAACAACTGGAACGGCGCTGCTACCAACCCCAACGCCGGTGTGTGGGGCCAAGAACATTTCTGGAACTGCGCCGACATCTACATCAGCAACACGTGCGGTGCGGCCCCTCTTCCGACCTCCGCCGTCCCCGTGACCACCCAAGCCACCGTTGCCCCAACCACCGCCGCGCCAGTCTCCACGGCTGCCCCCGTCACGACTAAGGGCACCACAACGGTTGCACCTGTCACTGCCGCGCCCACCACGGCTGCCCCCGCCACTACTAAGGCCACTACTCTTGCCCCTGTCACCCCTGCGCCCACCTCGGCTGCCCCTGGTGACAAGTGCCAAGGAAACCGCAACACGTGCTACTGGCCTGAAGCCCGCCAAACCGTCCCGTATGCCCAATCCGACTGCGCTCTCTTCCCCACGTTTGTGTGGTGCCCTTAATCACACTTCGTTTTACGGTCAAGTGGCGCAGTAGACTTAATCAAGATAATTTATGTCCATTTGCGTGATGACATTTGCCACGGATGGCAACTGAACTTGTATAATTAAACGTACTTGTACGGTGGAGTTGCTCTGAGCGTTGCGATGCTCCTCCTCAGCAACCAGTGTTGATCTAACGTTAACAGTAACACAAATAAATACCAGTATCCTTTTCGAACCGAAAATATTACTACTACGTAGTACTCCTGTACTAGTAGTACAGTACTTGCTTTAAAGTTCTGATGGAAATCGAGTCAGCTTAACATTAGTACGTATGGGGGCGTTGGTCTCAATCAACTGCCCCCACCTCGACGCATAACGTCAATGTCCATCAAGAGTAGACAGAGGAAGCGAGTTACGAAGCCTGCAGTATAATTAATCCATCCTCATGAATCGGTGGGTTGGATGTAATCAATCAAGGGCGGCAGGATCGTTTTAGTGCCAATATAGGGGGAGCAATAATGGCGAGGAAGTTCAGGAACATAACAAGTTTGCATTCGTCAGTAACAATATAAACTTTCCCTTAGTTATTTTAAAGCCAGGGGGTGAAGGGGGGTTCTGACATCCTGAGCGACGATACAGTTAACTCTGGAATACATAGGCGTTTCAGTCAACTAACGATGCGCCGAGATGTTCTGGAACAACCTCAGTCCGCCTTGTAGAGTATTGTGCTGGAGAACGTCGACACAACGTTAACATTAGAGATTAGCCCCATGTGAATTGGATTTAGTTTTCAACCTTCGTTAAGCCGCCGACTACAGACAGCGTTGCCCATAATGCACCTCAGAATCTACTGGTAGGGGTCAATGAGATATTGCGTGCATTAGTAGTTTTGACAAATTGCCCACATACCTAATAGTAATTTCCTACTTATTACTACATCTGTGTTGCGTGCCTGTCCATTGGCGCATGAAGAATTTTAGGGTTGTAGATATGGCTAACGTTAGCGTTGGGATCTCAAGCTAAATGGACAACTCACAAGTCATACTAGTACTGTACTCTGCTAAGCAGGCCCTGCTTTACAGCGCGCATTCTAAGTCCGACTTGCAGTTTGCACTTGCAATATGTCAGTCGGGAATCAGGTAAAACCTGATGAGTGATTCGTGGATTCGTCAAGAACATACTGCATGTCCGTGTGTGATCAATGATAATTGGGACCCCAACGGTGCCTCTTTGCATATGATAGTATGATTCGAACGACGTCGACACCATCACCACAGTGGGGTGATGTCAATTTTCCCCACATAAGTTGTTTGAGTACCGCCACTGAGTTACGTTGCTCACCTTGCACCATCAAATTAGTCCAGTTGACCATTTCGCATTTGCCCTCCTACCATGACCACTGCATTCTTCCTAGTTGCGCTCATCTCCTTCGCCAGGATGTGAACTGCGCCGACATCTACATCAGCAAAACGACCGGCGTGACCTCTCGTACAACTGCGTCGCCCCCTGTGATCACCACGAGCTCCTACCACTGCTGCCTCTACCACTGGAGGAACTGACAATACTCGTTCCACCTCTGTGCGCCAACGACCCCCCCCCCACTGCTGTCCCTGTCACAAATCAAGCAACCACGGCTGCCCCTGGTGACAAGTTTGACGGCAACCGCAACACGTGCTGCTGGTCTGGAAACCCCCTGCTCGTCCCGAACTCCAAATCCGACTGTGCGTCGTTCTCTTCGTTTGTGTGGTAACCTGTCCGTTAATGGCATGTTGGTTCAAGGGGATAGCTGTTGAACTGGAGGGAGTACACTGGATGCAGAGGTGGTAGTGGGCGCCATTTTCTGCATCACATTGCCACGGTCATGTGACTGGTTGACAAGTACCTCGACCTTCGAGAATTTTAGTGTGTAGTACATCATTACATTCGGGCGAGAAGGAGTTTGACATTGCGAAATGGAGGGATTTCTCACTTCGAAACGATTGTACGTTGCACCAATCGTTTCGACGACTGTGGCCCTTGTTAGGTGACCCCGGGGATGGGCTATGTTGTGGTCGTGGCGGTGGTATGAATCGCGTTGTGACCATGTACACAGTACAGTATTGCGATTAAGATCACGACGTCGCTCCAAATGTGCTCGCGGCCTCTGGCCAAATCCTTCGGCAACACGTAATGTCCTCACGCAAACTTGGATTGTTCACAAGTGAAACCGTTTTGGAATGAACTTTGCAATTTATACATCTTGTATTCACTAAAGTATAGTGAGTTCAATCTGCAACGGTTATTTATTAGAAAACGTATTGATTGGCTGAACCATTCAGAAATAAAGGGACGGGTTAGAATGGATTTTGATTGGCTAGTAAATCGATTCTAAGTTCCTTCTTCATTCTTTTTAGCCAATCATACTGGTTTGTTGGCGATTTCAACAATCGCCCAAAATTGGCAAATTTGGATGAAAAGCACTATACTTCGCTTGGTACTGGCTGTACTGTTGTGACAAGTGCAAAGGAAGACCAGTATCATTAGTATGGCAAGCGTCGACTAAGCCCATTACGTAGTGTGGACTACAGCTGTATCGCTCGCTGTACGTACATTAATAGGGTTGGTTTCTCAAAGAGCGTCTTGTTCGGTGTTGAAGTGCCTGTGAAACAAAGCCCCACGTGAAATTATTTTTATACAATATAGCATGTTTATTATAATTAAGATTGCTCCTTACAAACATCTAGATATCAAATATAAATGTATTCTTTTAAGAATACATTTATATTTTAAATATATTCATACTACTTCGAAGTAAGTATTAAAATACTTACTTCGAAGTAGTATGAATATATTTATATTTGATATCTCACTAAAATACCCTATTTGCACGATTGCGAGTTCCACAACGGCCACATTTTAGAATCATGGAGTGCGTCGACGGCACCGACGACGCGGGTCTGCACCGCGCGAATCTCGAGGTGATCGCACAGAAGATTCTGCATGAGATGACGTAAGCACACCAAGCTGACCTCTATCCGAAGGAGCAGAGTCCCGCTTACACCACGTCGTAGGTTGGCCGCCGAGAAAGCGCACGTAAACAACGCACCGCAGTTGAAGAAGAATGTGTCCGTGCACGATATGCACAAGATTCCTTTGGACACGAAGCAAATCCTCGAACCAGCGAGCAATGCATCGTGGCAGTTAATGAAGCAATCACATTTCGAGGTACTACGGACGTTGCATTCGGTTGTCGATGTGTCCTCAGGTCACGTCGGTAGCAATTCGCAAGTTTGCCCACAGGGTGGAGCGACACACTCGAAGCCCTGCAAGCGCATTGGGATTGGACCTTTGAAGACATCATCCACCTCGAATGCGCGCTCACGCACTTTAGCCGGTTTCGGTCCAACACGATAATCCATTTCCCGTCGAATCGGATCGCGAATCGGTCGCTGGAATGGCTCGGGGACTCGATCCTCAACACATGCGTCGCGATCTACCTCTTCCAGTCGTACCCGCTCACGCAGGAAGGGCAGCTGACGCAGCTTCGATCGGCGTTGATCAACAACTCGATCTTGTCGCAAGTGTCGACGCAGCTGAATTTACCCCCCGCGATCCTCACGGGGTCTCGCGTGGCGCAGTCCGAAGAGGAAGAGACCGACGCCGCCATCAGCATGCGCCAAACCATCTACGCCAGTGCCGTCGAGTCGCTCATTGGCGCCGTGTTCCTCGACCAGGTACGAACGAACTTGGCCTCTTGTTTCCGAATCCCCATTGGGATCTCATGCGATCTGTAGGGCATGTCACGCGCGATGGAGTTTGTCAACACCCGCGTGCTGCCCGTGGCCATTGACTTGGCGACGAACTCGAGGAACTGGGACCCCGTGAGCGAATTGCAGCGACGTCTCACGTCGCAAAAGCGATCCGTGCGCTACGACCGGTCTGCTTCGTGTTTTGTAACGATGTCTCACACCGTGTCACAGGTCCAAGGATGAGTTGGTGCACGACGTGACCTTGTACGTGGACAACAAGCTCATCATGCGCGAAACGGGAGCCAACTTTAAGGACATCCAGCGATCCATTGCGAACCACGTGCTCGACGTACTGGAAGAAACCCATCCCGAACTCAAGTTCGACTAGTAGTAGGGACTAGTAGGTACTAGTTCCCATCACGTGATCGTCCGTGCTGCGCTTTTGAAGGTGTTATACTAATTCTATGTCACTCTTATTTTAACAGTAAATAGTTAATAATAAAATGATTACTATGTATAATACTAGTAGTATTAATACCAATACTATTAATATTAATATATATTAATACTATTAATAGTACTACGTAGTGTTAATATTAATAGTAACGTTAGTGGCTGATACAAACCCTGCCGAGGTTTTGTACTAAATGTGAAAGGTTCAAAATCGACCAATGAATGGGCAGATTTTCCGCTGTGGCAACATGAAAAAATGCTGGGGAGCGGGCGCCGAGGCATCGGACAGTTGGCGCTCGTGCGTCAGCGTTGGCGGTGTGATGTGCGGGCCATCGCTAGCAAACCCGATCCGTCTAAACCCATCCATGCTGTATCGGTGAAGAAGAATGTGTCGGTGCAGGATATGCACTCCGACCAGCTGGATACCCGCCACCTTGTACTGCCGTCGACGAATCCTGCGTGGCAGGTCACCACTCAATCGCACTTTGAGGTGCACCGCACGCTATCACACAACGTCCGACAACATGATCTTGTGTGTAGGTATATGCGAACGTCCCTCCGGACTGGACAACTGCGTTGGAGTCGCTGCAGGTTCACTGGGACTGGCGTTTCGACAACGTGCTGCACTTGCAATGCGCGTTGACCCACTTCAGCCGGTACTTCCCCAACACACACCATCTATTCCCCGCGAACCGCGCGTCCAATCGATCCCTCGAGTGGCTCGGGGACTCTGTGCTCAACACGTGCGTCGCGAGCTACTTGTTTCAGTCGTACCCTACTGTCCAGGAAGGGCAGTTGACGCAGCTGCGGTCGGCGTTGGTGAACAATGTCGTGTTGAGCCAAGTGGCCATGGACTTGGCATTGCCTTCCGCGATGCTCTTGGGCGACAGCATCACGCACGCGTACGATCACGACACTGCCCTAGCCAACACCATGAAGCAGACGCTGCATGCCAGCGTGGTGGAAGCCCTTGTGGGCGCGGTGTTGCTAGATCAGGTATCTACATTTGCTTGGTGTTATTTCTTTGTTGTATGCAATGTAACGATTTTATATTTTCCAGGGCATGGTTCGTGCGATCGAGTTTGCAAACACAAGAGTGTTGCCCAAAGCGATTCAATATGCCAAAACCAAACCGTGGGACCCCGTCAGCGAAATCTACCGCCGCGCCAATGCGCACGGCTTTACCATTCGCTTCGAGCGGTACGTACATGGATCAGTGTATGGAGGCGTGAGTTCTAGATCGTTAGGACCAAAATTGACAACCACAAGCACTTGATCTCGCTCTATCTGGACGACAAGAAAGTGCTTACCCAGCTAGGCCCGAGCTTCAAGGCGATCACCACGCGGCTAGCGGAACGACTCATCAAGTCGTGGTCGACGTTGGCACCAAAAAAGAAGGCCACTGACACTGCTAAGAAGCCATAGATATGTAACTACGAACACGACGTCCAAGATACATCCGTATCGTTATAGAATAAAGGGAGTCGATAACGAACGCCTTGTACATAGGTAGCAGTATTGTGTGCTTTTCGCCCAAATTTGCTGTTTTTGGGGACTATTATTGTGTGTTCTACTCAAAATTTCCATAGGCGGTTCTTAAATCGCCCCGATCCGAATGTCCGCGAAATGACCCCAATGACAAAAAGTGGGATTTCTCTCACAAAAGAATCGTTACTAATCACCCTATTATGACGCAGTTTCCTGAGCTGAGTCAACGATCCAATCTTGCAGCATTAACACTTGAGCGCGTAGGCCTCGTAAGCGAGTTTCTTCGTATCCCCAGCACACATGCACACCTATGTACAGTACACACAAACATCGCAAGTACACCAACTGGACGCCTGCGCTACCGCAACATGCAACTACACCTCGTCGTACTGCCCTTTGCGGAAAACTAAGTTGGATGTCCATTTTCTGCCCAAATCTTCGAAATTCTAACCAATGAAATCATCGCGGCTATTTGTTGGCGATTTTCACAATGACTCACAATTGGCAAGTTTAACCAGAAAGCACAATACTTCGAAGTACTACGTAGTAATAGTAAAACGAATCACCATGGCTGATTTCAATATGATTAGCTAAAACGAGTGAATATTCACAAGGGTACCTCTGAAATTTAGATATGTATCATATTTCACATGTTCGGTGATTGCTGGGTGGTTCAAGTAACCGCCGGAGGAAATTATGAGTACTATTAGTAGTACCGTTAATGTAAAACACTCAATACCTTCCATCTCATAACGCGTTCACTCGAATAGATTTACAAATAACGTTATCAATAGTTGCAAAGCTTCAGTGTTGGAGAGCCAAATTTATACAAGTAATACTGTAATAATATATAAATTTAGGGAAATACGGCTACATACGGCTATATGTTCAGTACTTCGAAGTGTGTATTATGAATATATTTATATTTGATATCTAGATTTTTGTAAGGAGCACTTTTAATTATAATAAATAAACATGCTATATTGTATAAAAATAATCCAGCATTTCAGGTGGGGCTGGAAAAACGTGCCTAGTATGTTGATGAATGTATGGTATACAATTATACAGTTATATGTAACGCTGCATTCTGCTGTGAAAACCCCCACCCACCAACAAACAGCCCGAGCAGCAGTACGTACGATGGCAAAGCGAATCGAAGAGAGCGATGACAGCGGGAGCGCTAGTGAGAGTGGCAGCGGCAGCGGTAGCGACTCTGGAAGTGGTAGCGACTCCGGCAGCGACTCTGGCAGTGGTAGCGGTAGTGAAAGTGGCAGTGGGAGCGAGAGTGGCTCGGGCAGTGGGAGCGATAGCGGCAGTGGCAGCGAAAGCGAGAGCGCAGACGAGAAACCCAAGAAGGAAAAGTCACCAGCCAAGGGAAAGGCTGCTGCGAAGGCCAAATCGGCGGCGAAACCTGCCAAGAAGAAGTCACCGTCCAAGCCGACGAAACCGGCGGTGAAGAAGACGGCGGCTGGCAAGAAGGTCGTCGTGGACGACGACGACACGTCCAAGATCGAAGAGATCGACCCCGAGCGCCTCAAGGGATTGAACGAAGTGGAAAAGGAGGCGCTGATGCTGTACGTTGGCTCGTGGTGGTGGGTCAGTCACCACCGCTGACTGATGGTGTAGGGAGCATTACGAATCCCAAGCCAAGAAGAGCAAGGACGTTGCGCTCAAGAAGAAACTCGAGAGCGAGAAGGAGGCGTTGGACGACGAAGTGTCGGGGCGTCGGCTGCGCAACCGAGACACGGACAGCCGCAAGTCGGCGCTGTCGAACTTGAAGTCGATCAAGCAAGGCGACAAGAGCTCCAAGTCTATCTTGAGCAAGCGATTTGGCAACGACGATGGCAACCACTCGGATTATGACGAAGGAGACAACAACCGCGACGACCTCGCCGAGAAGCGCCGTCGCCGAAAGGAACTGCAGCGCGCGTCGGCCACGGAAGCCGCCGCGTCGTCGTCCGCCACCGCATCCGACAGTCGAAGCAACAAGCTCAGTCACGACGCGCACCATCCAGACCAGGTGGAACTGCAAGAACCGGAAGTGTCTGGCCCTCTGGAGTATCGACATGCGTTGGCGGTACGTTTGTTCCCTTTGACTCCTACATCGGTCCATAATTTGATCCATATATATATATACTTCGCAAGTATTCCGTAAGTCGTATTGCATACGTACGTACATTAAATTTGCTCTAACTTTATTTTATAGTATATATTTATATATATATACACTACCTACAAAAAAAGGCAACCCCAATCGAAATGGTTGTGACAGTGTATTTTATTATATATATATATATTGTGGTTTCGACACGAATTTCCAGACCTCGTCGATCGAATCTGGCCGCTGAATCGAATCACGAATCGACGCTATTGGCTAATCCATTTTCGAGTGGATTTGATTGGCTCTTGCAGAAAGGACAAGTATATTCAACCAATCAGAACTCCGGCGTGATTCAATATTGATTCGACAAACCAGGCGAATTTGGAAAGTTTATAGCGAATATTCACAATATATATATATATATTGCGTATGGTGATGAATATATAGTATAATATTATGACCCTGGACAAAAACACCACGCGTTTGATCGTCTCGATGTTTATGTGTGTAGTACCTGTTTAAATCGCGCGAATGGTTTGAAAAGAATTTTTTCGAGCCATTTTTCGACAAGTTGGTGCAAGGGACGTATGTGAAGATTGCGATCGACGACAACGTCGACGGCGAGCGCGTGTACCGGTTTTGCCAGGTGTCGCACGTGTGCAATGTGGAGCGCTCGTACCCGTTCGCGGGTGAGAAGACCAAGAAGGGAGTCATGCTAGTGTACGGCAAGAGCAAGCGGACGTCCACGCTCGCGGCCTTGTCCAACCACAGACTGCAGGAGCGCGAGTTCGATCTGTGGCGACTGTACCTGGAAAGCCTCAAGATGACCGTGCCTACAAAGGAAATGGCCATCAAGCAGTACAACGCGATCAAAGAGATGCCGTCGCGGCACAAGTACACGGACGAACAGGTGACTGTGATGGTGAATCGCAAGCGGGCAAGTGGCAAGAGCCAAGTGTCGTTGGGTACGACGATCGATCTCTTGTGTATTTATTATTGTGCTTTTCAGCCAAATTTGCCATATTTTGGGGAATTGATGAAAAAATCGCCAAGTAATCGAGCAAAGGAATATGACTGGCTGCAAAGAATACGAAGGTTGCAATATGATTGGCTAAAAAGATTGATTGATGCATTGCAGTCTCAAAGATACCATTTCAACTCAGTTTTGTATGAAATTTCGAAGGTCCAGCGATTGTTCGGCGGTTGATTCAACCAATTGCCAGAGGAAATTATGAGTAGAATACATAATATTTGGGATGGATGGATGAGAATGTAGTTGGATTGTGATGGTGATGATGGTTGTGTGGATTGGGAATGGTGTGTGGTTCTGGTCTTGAAGTGGATTGGGCTGTGGTACAGTAGTATTGATTTGGTATTAATATTATTGTAGGACGTTCAATCTACCGAATACGCATCTCTCCCATTGGTCAATCTGATTCACTCCTTGTCGCTGATTGGCTGCACTGTTTTTTCTATTTACGAACTACGCGCTTTTTTTGCGAAATGGGAAAATCCATGAAAGTTTGAGAATTTTTGGTGATTGATTTGATGAATCTCGCAAAAATTCGGGAATTTATTTGGTACTACAATGGACAATTGGAGTTCGTGTAGTAGTTTGATAGTAGTAGTGCGTTTGTCCTAGTACTACTACAAGTACAAGCATTGCGTAATACCGAGATTTTGATATAGTGATGTTGTTTTACGAGTTTTACTATCGGGTAGGGGTGGAGATTGTCCGGCTGGAGCGGGATGTGGCGGCGGCCAAGACGGCCAACAACTTTGACAAGTCGATCGAGTTGGAGGCGCGGCTGGCGCAGATGCAGCATGCGAACGAGCAGCGTCTGGCGGTCAAGACGGAGGACGTGGTGCGCATCAACGAGATCAACAAGCGCAACCGAGAGATCAACATGAAGCGAGACATGGACGCCGGCGCGTCCAACCGCGCGCAGATGGACAACATGTCGGCGGCTCAAAAGCTGCAGTACGTACGGGCGTCGGCGTCGCGACGCATGTATCTGTCCAAGGACAAGATCGACGTCAACTTGGCGGAAGGCAAGCTGGTCAAGCTGCCAGACGGACGCATCATGACGGTCAACAAATTGGTCGAGGTGGAGGCCCTTCCGGACGACATCATCCCCGACAACAAGAAGAACAGCAAGGAGGAAGACGTGCTCGTGAAGATGGAGCGCAAGCGAAAGGCGCAGGAACTGGCGGTAGTCGAGACTCGCGTCAACTCGGTGGAGATTGAAGGGGACGGCACCGACATCGCCAACAAAACGATTCGCTTCATCGACGACGACGGAACGTGGACGACGATCCGACCAGCGGCAGAGATCCTGCAGGAACAGGAGCTCAAGAAACGCCCGGTCGTGTCGGACGAGGTCAAGAAGACTCGCCGAGGCATCTCGATGAAGGATTACTTCAACCGCGTCAAGGAACGCACGGCGGCCGAAGACGGCGCGTAACCACACGACGCCGACGGATGTCTAACATGTAAACACATGCATCGCTCGCTGCGACCGGCCATGTAGATGCGAAGTAGTATTGATGGATGCATCCTCGATAGCACACCTCCATCAAGAGGAATGCGTGAGAATGAAACACGAAGAAGTATTTATTGTTTCGATTAAGTGCGTCCCTCCGGATACGCGTGCACTGAGTACGGATTACTAGTATTACTAGAGAGAACTTGACATATGTAATGGTTAGGGTCAGGTTTTTTGGGACATGGGGTGATTTTTATGAACGGGTAAAGCGGGTTAGGGGTCAGGTTGTTGGGACATAGTTGGTGTGAAATGATTGCTGGTGACATATTCGTGTCAGTAAAGCCGGGTCTGGTATACGAACAGTACGAAGTATTTAACCACAGTTAAGAACATTAGACATGGTGAATGAAGGTCGATTACCTGGGTTTAAGAAACGGATCGATGGCAGTTTTGGTGGCGTGTTGGCGTATTTGACTGTGGAGTCGATCGAGTACATTACTTTGTTCCTAGTACTACTATAGTAATACTAATGACACCATTTATAATGGTTTGCATGCAGCATTATATTTCAAGTGATAAAGAACACGAAGTAGCCACGGATATGTTTTCGAACATGTACGCAAGAGTCACATTGCATCATTCCTGGTTCAATGAACATGCTTCGAGGCGCGACCGCCGTGATCGGGCGCCGGTCCATGGCTACCGTCAACAACAACTACGTGAAGCGATTGGTGCAAGATGCGAACAACCACCCCATGGATCCTCTTCGCCAGCTGCGCGTGCTCCAGATGCTCAACAAGATCCATCCGTCGCTCGTCATCCAGCGCGTGGAAGCGGTCCAATTTACCATGTCCCAAGAGGCCCAGAAAGAATACATGAAGGCGTTGGTGAACACTGACCAAATGGACTCGGTTGATTTGAACCAATTCTTGGCTCGCATGCAGACCACCGGCCTCGCGGGCTTCGCCTCACGAGCATCGCACAAGGCCCATGGTGTTCCCCACCATCAAACTGTCGATGAGAGCGGATACCGCGCTTGGGCGACATTTGCGATGTTGACATGGGGTGGCATTGTGGGCATTTCTCTCGTGACATTCTGGAACGAAGAAGGATGGAAGGAAGAGCATCCGATGACCGCGGGGTTCATGCGTGGATTGGAGCTGCACATGGAGCTTCCCAAGCGTAGCAACGACCGACCTGCTTCCCAAGACAAATCTAAGTCATCGCCGCCGCCCCCCGCGGCTCCACGTGCATGACAACCACGCGTTGTGTTGATGTGTGTATATCTATCATTTGCCGTACCAAAGGTGAATGTAACCTATTGTTTGTGTATACTAGTAGTAAATATTAATGTACCCATCGCTGCAGTTCTTTCCGAAATACTACTATTAATAGTACCATGATTGATAGATAATATTAATACTTCGAAGTACTGTAGTATTAACCCTATATGACGGTAAGGTATTATATTCCACAGGGATACTGACCATACTAAGCTTAAGATGTATACAACAAGCATACTTAGGGCAAAAACAGATAACACCATCAAACAAAACACCAATTTTATCAATTTTCACCAAATGGCTGGTTTATTTCCGGCCGGAGGTAGTATTAATACATACTACGTAGTAATTACATAATTATTAATAATACCATAATTATAAATAACTAATACCTGCATTTATACTAAAAGCCCCACATAGAAGTATTAAGTAGAACGGTAGATGTTTTTTGGTAGAGTGGAAGGTGCATTCTTCGAAATACGTGGGAAATTGCAGATCAATGATCGGTTTGTCAAGAAGAGCTTTGCACCGTCCGTTGAGAACAAGGAGTGGCCAAGACGGCAACGAAGTCTTGCGTGCGATGAGTGCTCAGAACTAACATGTAAGCCCAGAATCAGGTTGCTAGGGTTTGTTATTAAATGCTCAATAAAGTTGACCAATGGCATCATTGGAATGTAATTTTGAGAGAGGCCATTGGTCGACTAGTAAATGCATGACAAGAGTTGGACCAATCAAAATTGTCATCGATCCGACGTTGTCGCATCGGTTCTGAAACCCCTTCTTGCCCCCATCAAGGTTGGTTCTTCCCATCTGTCATTTTCAAACTCGACAGCTTCTTCAGTATGGACTGCACCAACACGATCTGCGTGGGCGACATTCTATGCCCGATCGTCTACCAATCCCACCCCATGCATCGGTGCGCTGTATGTGGCGGCGGCTCATACTGCCATGAACATATTGGGATGCACTTCACCGCATACAACGAACGATGTCTGGTCTTCATGCCTTCCACCGCGGCAGCAAATGCATCCACATCATCCAGCACGAGTCGGCCCACCTCTACAGCGTCATCCCGCCGGTCCAGTGCCGACGAAATGGATTGGCACTTGGACGACTCGATGTACCAATGGTCGACTGTCCCCAGCCACACCATGGCGACACGCATGAATTACGACGTCACAAGCCATTGAAAGTGTCTCCGAACAAAGACCGGCGTCGATAACTGTTATATACTTACTGTACAATACACGATCATCTACTTTAGTTTATATCCATCTTCAAACTCGTTTGTGGCTATGGAGGATGCGGTCTAGGAACAAAACACGGTCAACACACATGTACAGTAAGTACATCGCATCATCCGACAGCGTATGTACATGCTAACACGGCAGCCCCAAACCCATTGTCGATGTTCACGACGCCGACGCCTGGAGAGCATGCGTTGAGCATGGTCAAGAGCGGCGCGAGTCCCCCAAAGGCCGCCCCATACCTATCAAGGACTCTCCCTTAATGCAACCTGGTGTAGGAATATGATGTTTACCCAACGCTGGTGGGTACTGCCACGATGGGTTTGCTGGTCAACCCCCCCTACATAGCCACCCATTCCAGGTATATATATATATGTCTGGCTCGTACGTACCACGACACCAGGCAACGCGCCGTCCATGCCGGCGACCACAATGATCGCGTCTGCATCTTGAATGGCTTGGCGATTCCGCAACAGCCGATGGAGGCCGGCAACGCCCACGTCGTAAATGCGCTGGACGTGGACACCCGCTAATTCTACGGCGCGGGGTCATATACCCAGTCAAGGAGGTGCGTGATGAAGCAGGGATGTACCTAGCGTCACGGCGGCTTCTTCCGCGACGGGTAGGTCCGACGTGCCCGCACACAGGACACACACCACCTACACACGTATTCGACAACGAGAATGATGTCTAACCTAACAACGTTCGGTACCTGGGAGGTCGCTGGAGTGGTGGGCTTGGGGTGCAAAGAGAGCACGCGGGCTGTGGGGAAGTAGTGGATGTCCTGGATGATGATGATTGTCATGTTTTCTGGCCGAAAGAGTAGTACCGTCAAATCCGCATGCGCCTTGACCAGAGCAGCGACATCTGCGCTCACACGGGTAGCCAGAACGATTTCGTTTGTCTTTTTCATCGCCACGAGGATGGTTGTCACTTGGTCCGTGGTCTTGCCTTCGCTATACACGACTTCAGGGAATCCCGTCCGCGCCGCGCGTTGCCCATCCAGCTTGGCAAAGTCTTCGAGAACGTCGTATTCCAATGCATTCCAGTCGTCCATAGCTTTCGACACTGACACCTATGTGCCGTCAGTTCAAGTGGTTCAACACATGTATGCGTGATTGAAGTCCCCAGCTATACCTTGCCGGTTGCGACAGCATCGAAGATCTTGCGCAGACTAGACGATTGGCCATCGACCTGTGATGAATACATCGCTGTACGAATGGGAGTACGTAATCGTGGCATGCCGCGGGCGGAGCGACGGGCGAGGACGGCGCAGGCTTTCGGCAGCACCATCATGTGGAGATTGCCCTTGGATCGCAAAATGCTGAGATATCCGGATAAGGTGGATTGTTTACGTTGACGTTTGCTGCGGTGGTACATCGACATAATCAATGTTATCCGGATGATGTTGACCCTGTTAGTTACCACACACATTTTGAACAGGCCCATGTTCCATCGGCGCCTGTTGTCGTCCTCATCGCAGCTCGCCACAGTGGCGAAGAGCTTTAGCGACGTCCCGCGCTTCGATCCTGTGGCCCAGCGGACGCTGAAGCTGCTGGAGAGGAAGAAGGTCACGACGTTGGATGTAGGCATTCTCAAAGCCAAGAACAAACCCATCACGATGGTCACGGCCTACGACTACCCTTCGTACGATACACACAGCCACCATGAGACCTGAACATCCACGCGGTATGTAGGGCCGTGCACGTCGACTTGGCTGGCTTTGACATTCTCTTGGTCGGGGATTCTGTCGGCATGGTCGAGTTAGGCATGGACACGTACGCCAGCCACAATAATCTCTCCCTCGTCATACCGAGCTTACCCCGCCCGCCCTTGTAGAACCATTCCGGTGACTCTAGATGACATCATTTACCACTCCAAAGCTGTGTGCAGGTCAGTTGTCGACACGTCATAGTGTGCATATCGATTATTCCCTTGGTCATGTAGAGGTGCGTCTCGTCCGCTGATTGTGGGCGACATGCCGTTCGGAACGTGTGAAGGCGACCCGTACGAAGCATTGAAGAACGCTCAGAGACTGATGAAGGCACGTTTCTGTGACGCGGTGTTGGTACTGAGTGAACGTTGTAGGAAGGCGGAGTGGACTGCGTCAAGATTGAAGGCGGCGTCGAACGGGCAAATACCAGTCCGCGATCTGTCCGTGTCACAGTTTAGGCTCATGCAAAGTGTAGTTCGAATGCTGGTGCAAGGTGGCATTGCCGTGATGGGCCACGTGGGGCTGCGACCCCAAGCCATCAGTGTCTTGGGCGGGTTTCGGGCGCAAGGACGAACAGGTACGACTCGTCTTGCAATGTCAACGAAGTCCTTCTCTCATGCATGTTTGAGTGTAGCCAAACAAGCAGACCAGATCATTCAAGACGCGCTTGCTGTGCAGGTACAATTGAAGACTTGATATTGAAAAGTTGTCCAATTTAACTCAATGTAAATAGAAAGCTGGGGCGTTTGCAGTCGTCTTGGAATGTGTTCCTTCGGTAACAAGGCTATATCTATGTCAGTCAGCATTCATGAGTTTCCACAACGTGTGTAGGTTGTAGCCAAAGCCGTGACAGATATTTTGACCGTGCCAACCATCGGCATTGGGGCTGGACCTCACACCAGTGGCCAAGTATATATATATATATATATATATATATATATATATGGTTTTTTCCTATTTGTATGCGTGATCGCATTATACTCTACTCGATAGGTGTTGGTATTCCACGACTTTTTGGGCATGCTGCAACATCCTCATCACGCACAGGTAGGTGGTACTCACATCGAAATCAATGTCCAGTGTAATTATGGTTCATATCTTTGAAGAAATCAAAGATCTATCTGCAGCACAAGCAAGCATATATATGATTGATAATTTTCAGCCATGTGATAATATATATATATATTTGTAATGATTTGCAATGATGACTGTAGCACGTGCCAAAGTTTTGTAAAAAATACGCCGACGTGGGCGAACGCATTCGACAAGGCCTCGAAGACTTTCGAGAAGATGTCGAGAACCAACGGTTCCCGTCCGAAGAATATGCTCCGTACAAGGTAATAATGAATATATATGCAACTACCCTCGAAGTACAATTCTAGTATATATATATATATATATATTCCTCATGCGTTTTGATGCGTTTTTCTTTGAAATTAATAGATGTCGCAAGATGAACAGCGCAAACTCCAAGGTCTGGTCGCTACAAAGTACGCTAAATCAACAGACGACGACGACGACGACCTAGGAGGCGGCGGCGACGGGGGGTTTGGCGTGTCCAAAGTGTACTAGCTTACGCCGACTTCTTCTTCTCCAGTCGTTCAGAGTGCCGGGTCTAACGTTACCAGATATGATGATGGCCCATATATATAACACCAAGTAGTAAAACCCATGCGACGACGAAACACATCATCACTTGGAAATGGAACGTACGGGGGCTAGCGTGGGTTTCTTGCGCCTGGACTTGGCAGATGGTGGCGTGGGGTGGCTTGCTGTGACGTGGGATGCAATGTTGTGGGCATGCGACACGGAAGGAGCTGCGACGCTGACGGGGCTGGGGGGGGTTGTATCTGCACGGGGCTGCGCATGTGTGTCGTGGCTTACTCGGTCGCTATCTGCAGAAACGGACTCGATGCAACTACGCGACGAGGTCGTTGTAGCTGTGACATCGCGGCGGGTGTCGTGACTTGTGTGGGGAATGAACGTCACTTCGTCCTCGTCGTCGAAACGTTGGTCACACACTCGGGGGGTATGCACGACTGGCGGCGTGTGTTTGGCTCCATGAGACCGGCGACTTCGCGCGACCCACCACGCAATCAACACGGCAACCACCGTCACAGATATGAGGACTGCTGCTGCGACAGAGTTCGAGGACCGAATCGTTTCAGGGGCGAGCAACACGACGCAGGTGGGGGCGCTGGTACGAGTCACGACCATGCCATGGCCCAGCCGGCCAATCAGAGCTTGCGGGGTGAACTCGACGCCTGGATCCAACTCACTGTTTGAATCACAAAAGGGGGGCGAAGTGGGACTTACCTGGAAACTGCCACTTGCCGTCTAGGTACTCTTTCCAGTGCTGCCCATCGGCTGCGATCGGGCTCGTGTGGGTTTCAAAGAGAAACACAAACACAGTGGGCAGCGTGTCCAGGAGTCCACTGGTCGTCTCTTGGGTAGAGTCGTCCTTGGTTGTGGCTACTTTGCCACTTAGAGGCAACAAGAACACGTCTAGCACAGGCAGCCACGCTTGCCTAGATACGAATAATCATAGCGTTGTTGCGTTGTTGAATATAATGCAGCGGAGGAGGTTTCGTACGGAACAAGATGGAGGTTTTCCAGGACGAGCATGTTGCGGCGAGGACACCGCTTGACCAGATTCACGAGGGTCGCGTGGATGGCGGCATGCGCGGCCTTCTTGGACGCCATCGACTGGATAACCTACCAGCATTTCGATTTGGTGAGGTCGGTCGGTCGGTCGTTCATTCTTTGTTCGTAAGTTCGCTGATTCGTTCGCGAATATGGACAAATACCTCATGGATGTCAAGGCGAAACACACGATCTGTCGCCGCGGAGCCATGGCCAAAGAACGTGGCCGCTAGGATCTCGGAAGAGCGATGGAGAAGCTATGGCAACTCGACATGGTGAAGTGTTGGTTGCATGGGGAGGGTGGTCGCTTCTCCTACCTCCGTCGAATTGGCAAACAATACTATGGACAATGGAGTTTTTCTATCATAGTCGAGTCTACAGCACACATCATAAGCATGGAAGTTTGCGTCAAGCTATCCATGCATACTCATGTGAAACGATAGCGTCGGCCAGATTCGACCCCAAGTGCGCCAGGCAGCTACCTACACCAAGCCGTCAGTCAGCGTGGAGTTCATCAGCGATAACGAGGGCCTCAACTTACGTACCCAGTTCATCCACCCTGTCTGCTAATGCATTTCCCGACTTGTATGCAGAACAAGAGTCTGCGGATACAGCACCTCCCCATGCAAGCAAGCTCATCGCCAGCAGTACCATCGACTGCCGCCACCTCCCGGGCATTATACTAGCTTGGCGTTCGGGTGAAATATTCGTTGGGACTGTCCAAGGTGCCGACATCTTTTAAGCCAATCGTATTGCTTGTAGAGCTAAATCTTTTCAGCCAATCATATCGCCTTCGTATCAGAATCAGCGAATCGGATTCCTGGGCATGTCCCATAAATTACAGGGTTTTCATTGGATATAAATGGTAACCAATGTCATGTTTACAGCCAATCATATCAATTTATCCAGGCAGTAGGATGCACTTTTAGCAGATTCAACATGCCCTGCGTTTTGATTGGCCAGCCACTTCGTCAACGTTAAGCCTGGATGCCAATCGTGGTCGGGTATTTCTGGAAACCTCCGGTCGACGACACCCACGCTTCACTCTCCACCCATCCTCATGTCGCTCATCCGCACCGTACTTCCTCGCGCCAAGGCCGCCTTTGCGCGCCGAGGTGTTCACAACTCCCGTGGCCTCCTCTGGGACGAGATCCGCAACCAGAACCACCCTGGCGACCACACGAACCCCGTGCTGTCGACGCCGCAGACGGTGTCCGTGATCGGCGCACCCATGACCCGTACGCTTGTCATCATTTCTTCGACATCTCATCGCGATTGATGGAATAGATGGACAACCTCTCTTGGGCACGGACTTTGGTCCTGATTTGCTTCGCAACGGCGGTCTTCACAACGTCATCACGGATTTGGGGTGGTGCGTCGAGGAAACGGGTACGGTGTCCATGATGAGCATGTCCACATGACGTTCAATAACACTTACGATCGTCGTAGGCAACCTCAACTTTCGCGCTCCGTCTGCGGGTGACCCTCAAATCGATCCCAGCTACGGCCGTGCCAAGCGCTCGTTCGCCGGTAAGGGTGTCCATTGAATCCCTTTCAAGCCTCCTCATCGCTCTTGAATGCTTCTAGTCGGAAGCGGCTTGAAGCAGATCGCCGACGTGGTCGAAAAGAAGGCGTCGGAAGGCAAGTTCTGCCTCGTGCTCGGGGGCGACCACACGATTGGCGCGGGGTCGCTCGCCGGCATCCTCAAAGTGCACCCAGACGCAGGCATCATTTGGGTGGATGCGCACGCCGACATCAACACGCCACAAACGACTGAGAGCGGCAACATGCACGGCATGCCCATCTCGTTCCTGATGCAAGGCCTCGCCGACCCCGCGCGCGTCCCTGGATTTGAATGGCTCGTGGACGGACCGATCCTCAAGCCCGAGCAATTGGTGTACATTGGGCTGCGTGATGTGGACAGTGGTATGTCACATGTATATATATCAGGTGGTGACGTGATCGGCTGTATGTGTGTGCGAGAGTGATGGTCCAACTTTGTTGAGATTTTACCCAAAATCGATCGATTTTGGTTTTTTTGTGTACTTTTAAAAGTTGTCTTGTGGTGATTGGAATCACACGAATTCAAGTCACACACACTAATTCCATGTTGGTTTCCTGCAATCTGATTGGCTCAACATATATCTGCCGATGCTTTGGTTCATGTCGATCGATATTCATTCTCCCCATATCGCTCCAGAAGATATAAACATCACCATCATATTCCTAGGCGAGCGCCGAATTATCAAGGAACTCGGGATCAAAGCATTCTCTATGCAATCTGTCGACAAGTACGGAATCGGCAAGACCATGGAGATGGCGCTGGACCACTTGTGCGGCAAGCAAGCGCGGCCTCTGCACATGAGCTACGACATTGACGCCGTCGATCCCGTGGACGCGCCATCCACCGGCACCCGAGGTACTGTACACGTTTGGTTTATATCGCAAGTGGAAGTTATAGAGGCGTGTTGCTTGCGTCTTACTGGATGTGACGCTGTTGTTTTGCTGCAATATGGATATCCATGAACGATGTCACATGTGTGTGTGGTGTTGTAGTGCGTGGAGGATTGACGTGGCGTGAAGCCAACTACGTGGCAGAAGCGGTGGCCGAGTCCAACATGGTACATACATATACATACTGGGAAGCGAAACGAATGGATATATATATATATACTAACGCGCCATGATTAGTTGGTCGGGCTAGACATGGTCGAAGTGAACCCGTCGTTGGCTCCTGGCAAGGGCGCGGCCATCACGGTGGACATGGCGCTGTTGCTGATCGGGTCGGCGTTGGGCAACCGAATCCTTTAACTAACCAACTCGTTCTCTTCCGTTGTTGAGTCTGGAACAGCAGCCTTGGAGACGACGAGCACGGTCGTGTCTTGCTGCAGAAGGGCGTTGACGAATGTGAGAACAGCGGCGGCATCGGCAAAGGGCTATGTACATGGGGAAAGGTTCATTCGTGATGGCAGTAGTGCGTGCATGCGTTGTTCTTGTACCAAGGGAGCGGGGAGCTTGGAATCGAGATTGTAATACACACCATGCACCTAATATACAGTACACACAGACTCGTATGAGGCGATGGTGATGCAGACACGAGCCGCCCGGGTGACCTGCCGAATGGTAAACCAGTGGCGAGACTGCCATAGCCCCATCATGCTGCTGCTGGGGACGTTGCAGAGAAGTCCATCCACGGCGACGACCAAGTCAATCGTGTCCGTCGCCTTGCGTCGGTCAAAGTAGCATGTCGAATATCCTGCCAAGGCTTTGAGGGCAAGTGGTCCGAATGGAATTATGAATGAACGCACCGTGGCGAAGAAGGGCCGCTATCAATACTTCCACGCCATAGTTGCCGATTCCGAGAACGGTTTGGTGCGGATTGAAGCTCCACCTAGCATCGTTCTGCACCTGTACGAGGGACCTTGCGATGGTGTCGAAATCGCTCACGTCGAAGGCCTTGCCTACGACAGGGAATGTAAGCGTGACTTGGTACATCGTCGGGAAAGAAGGGTACGCTGAAGCATGTTGTTGACGGAATGTAGCCCGCAACGCATGAGCGTTTGCTTCTCGTGGTATACGCCCGCGGGTATCGTCGCTCCTTCGGCGGCGATGTTTGCGTCGGTCATACTGTAGTTGTCGATTTTCGATTTAAATCCTGCAATTTTTTCACAAAATATACATAATATTTGTGCATCTTGAACGAAATTTCGCACTCATCATGGCGTACCGGAGCTCGACGTCCGGCATGTGGGTGCCAGGCGTGAAGAAAGCTCAAATGTCCGACCGCGGAGAGGAGCAACTGCCTCCAGTCGTATCTGTCTCCAGCTTACCCATCGAAGTACGGGAGAAGGAGATCCTGTATGCCGTGGAAACGTCGTCGGTGGTGATCTTGGCCGGCGAGACCGGGAGCGGCAAGACCACTCAAACGCCACAGTACCTGTATCGCGCCAAGTTTGGCAAGATTGCCGTCACGCAGCCTCGCCGAATCGCCGCCATCACGGTGGCGGAACGTGTGGCCTCTGAAATGGGCGTTCGTATTGGCGGCGAGGTGCGCAATCAAATTCGCCCCGTTCCCATGCTCTCAACACCCCAATCACATGATGCTTTTGGGGTAGGTTGGGTACGCAGTCCGCTTCGAGGAGAAGTGGGACCCGGAGCGCACGGGCATCAAGTTCCTCACGGATGGGATGCTCGTGCGCGAGACGATGCTCGATCCGTTGCTGTCCCATTACAACGTCATCATGCTGGTACGACATCCCATGCCCATGTAGTGTCCTACCGCATTCCTTGTAGGACGAAGCCCACGAACGCAATTTGGAAACGGACATTTTGCTCGGGTTAATCAAGAAAATCCTGAAAAAGCGGCCGGACTTGCGCGTGGTACGTACAGTTCGTTCGTAGATAATTAATAAATGAATCTATTCATTTATTAATTTTACGATATAATAAATGATATATTCATTTTACGATATAATAAATAAATCATTTCATTTATTATATTAGATTGTGGCGTCGGCAACCCTCCACGTTGAGTCGTTTGTCCGGTTCTTCTCGTCCGTCAAGCACGACGCCAATGTCAAGCAACCGGTCGTGTCCATTGCCGTGCAGGTATTCATAGCAGCATTGAATACTACTACTAATTTTATATTTTTAAGAAATGTCATATTGTCCTCTAAAACGAGCTAAAATTTATCGATTGGTTGGACTGAATTCTATATGTACAAAAAATTCACACTAATTTCAGTCAAACTCGAATCCGACGTTTGAATGGTTGACGAGGGAATTTGATTGGCCGATTGATTTGTGTTGTGTGGGTTTTGATTGGTCAATTGATTATTGTATGCCGATTTGGTGCTGCCATTCATTCGATTGAGAGCGATACCTACCCCCACGTGCCCAGTTAAACACTGGATTTGGAGTGGATTGTTGTTATTGTGAATATTGAAAATTCGCTATAAACTTCCAAAATTCGCTATAAACTTCCAAAATTCGCCTGGTTTGTCGAATCAATATTGAATCACGCTGGATTTCTGATTGGTTGAATATACGTGTCTTTTCTGCAAGAGCCAATCAAAGTCACTCAAAAATGGATTAGCCAATCGCGTCGATGCGTGATTCGATTCGACGGGGTCTGGAAATTCGTATCAAATCCACAATATTTGCTATAAACTTTTAAAATTCGCTTGGTTTGTCGAATCAATATTAAATCTCGCTCGAGTTCTGGCTGACTATACTTGTCGTTTCTGTACGAGCCAATCAATCAAATTCACTCAAATTTGGATTAGCCAATAGCGTCGATTCGTGATTTGATTCGAGACCATTCGATTGAACGGAGTCTGGAAATCCGTATCGAATATACCACAATAACCTACCGCGTGATTTGTAGGGCCGTCAGTTCCCCGTCGATGTTTTGTACTTGCAGGAACCGGCAGCGAATTTCGAACAGAAAGCCATCGACACGGTGTTAGCCATCCACGAGCGCGAAGCCCCAGTAAAGAGAGATACATCCGTTATGTTGGCCCAAGTGTAAATGAATGGTAGGGCGACATATTGGTGTTTTTGCCTGGGCAAGACGAGATTGACCACGTCGTCCAGCGGTTGAGTCAGATGGCCAGTCGCACGCTGCTCCCGCTTGCGTTCTACGGGTCGCTTCCTGTGCACGTCCAACAAGCCGTGTTCGAGCTACCTCCGCCGCACATCCGCAAGGTCCGTCGTTAAGCTACCCTCTTCAAACTTCACAGGATCGCATTTGTCGTAGGTGATTGTGGCCACAACGATCGCCGAGACGTCGGTGACGATCCCGGGAGTCGTGTATGTCGTCGACTCGTGCTTTGTGAAACTACCGTTCTACAACCCTCTCACCGGCATCGAAGCCCTCGTGACCACGGTCGAGTCCAAAGCCGCCGCCAAGCAACGCGCCGGCCGCGCCGGACGGATGCGTCCTGGTCTGTTAGCTCTGTCGGCGCACCCTGTAGCTTCACACGTACTGTATGTACGTAGGCAAGTGCTTTCGACTGGTAACCGAAGCCACGTACCGCAAGAGCTTCCAAAAGCACACGATTCCTCAGATTCAGCGCACCAACTTGGCGCCGATTGTGCTGCATTTGCTCAGCATGGGCATTCAGGACATTGTGCACTTTGACTTTTTGTCGCCGCCGACGCCGGAAGCGTTGATTCGGGCGTTGGAAGTGCTGTACGTGTGTCCACATTGGTTTCTCGATTGATTGTATATAGTACTAGTAGTTATATTTGATACTATCATAAACTGTAGTAGTAATACGGACTCGATTTGTAGATCTATATGTATATTCGGTACTAGTACTCATTTGATAATGTGTATCTATCTATATATATATGTATTAGGTACTACTCAAATTTGACAATCTATATATATATATATGCATATATATTAGGTACTACTCAAATCTGATAATCAATATATATATATATGTATATCAATTAGGTACTCGTTGGGAGCCATCTCCAAGGACTGCCAATTGGTCGAGCCATTGGGGGCCCACATGGCAGAATTCCCCGTCGACCCGTTCATGTCCAAGATGTTGCTGTCGTCGTTCGAGTTTGGGTACGACTTATTAAAAGAGATGGAAATTGCTAAGCAGCGACATGTGTGTAGATGCACCGAAGAAGCGTTGACGATCGCGAGCATGTTGAGTGTGGACGATATCTTCATCCATCCACGATCGTCCAAAGAACGGCAGCTCAAGGTACTTGGTATCCCAGAAATATATATATATGAAGAATTATTACGAGAGTAGGTGAAAGAAGCAGTGGCTGGCTTTGCCCATCAGCAAGTACGTATAACTTAATTTGGACATTCATGCAAGTGAAATATTCACAGCGACCGAAACTACTAGGGCGACCATGTCACGTACTTGCACATTTACAAGGAATTTTTGGAAAACGACCTCAGTCGGTCGTGGTGCGACGAGCATTGCTTGCACCACCGCATCTTGATGCGGGCGACGGAAATTCGAAAACAATTGCATCGGTACGTATATATATATATATATATTATTGATTTGGTATGAATTTCCAGACCCCGTTCGATCGAATCACGCCGACCATACTGATCACGAATCGCTCCCATTGGTCAATCTGAAAGTACTTGTCGCTGATTGGCTACTTTTTTTTTTTCACTTTATACTTCGTCCTCTCTGTGGATTGGGGGGCGTGATTTTTGATCGGTTTCATGAATCGCGCAAAAATATAAATTTATCCGTTCCGTCTTATTGTGATTTGTTGGATACGAATGATAAATATATAACTATTTCTACTACATGTCCATAGATATGTGAAGCGGTTTGCAACGGCAGACAGGACGATTCAAAGCTGTGGCGACAACATTCAACCAGTCCTCCAATGTATCGTGGCGGGGTACTTTGCCAACGCGGCCAAATTGCACGGAAGCAGCACGTACAGGTAATAAATATTATATTTCGATATCTACTGGAAAACAACAACGTACAATATCAATTTGGATTCATAGATATAAAAAATAATATCACTGTCTTGCGTTTCCTCTCTAGAATGATTTAAGTATTGTTTTGAGCAACATATATATATTTGTAATATTGTTATTAATACCTTATCCTGGCATGATGTATTCTTTCAACTAGAACGATCAAGGATGGTCGCATTGTGCATGTGCACCCGACGTCCGTGTTGAATTCGTTCATTCGGTCGCCAGAGTGGGTCTTGTACCATCAAAGCGTGCTCACGGACAAGGAATATGTCCGGGAAATCTCGAGGTAAATCATCTCTTATTTAAAACAAATAGTTAATTAAAATGAATGGCTAACACTGGCGCTAGCATTGACCCGCGATGGTTGGTGACGGCTGCCCCCGAGTATTACCTTTGCAAAGACGTGAGTGCGGTCGTGTCTGGCAGTTCGGGGGCCGTGGGACTGCCCAAAGCTCCGCCTTCGACCGCGGCGGCGACGGACGCCAGCGGTCGCATCTTGTTTCGCCGCCCGACGACTCAAGCCACAGACAGCAAGAAACCAAAGATGCCTGTGCATATTGGCAAGAGCAAAGGCGGTCTTCGATCGCAGTTTTAACCCCCGATCGAGACAACGTCAAATAAGTATCAACAAGTCGCTTCGACTCCAACTCTACTCACTTGACAGCACTACAAGCGAGAATTGAACTTTAAAGTGAAGTATTCGAGTGCTAAGTAAGGTATAGCCCGTCTTCGTAGGTGGCTACGATTGTACTCGATCTTCTTGAGTGTGTTCTACTCAATATATATTCCGGTATGAATCGCCCAACTATCTCCACACGTTCGAAATATTATATACTAGTAGTATTAGTTTACCAATATATATGGGTGAGCTAAAATGAAAAGTATGAGTGGATGATCATAAGATTGATTGATGTTGTAACGTTACTATTAATAGTAATATATTATTACTATTAAAATGAAAAGTATGAGTGGATGATCATAAGATTGATTGATGTTGTAACGTTACTATTAATAGTAATATATTATTACTATTAATAGTAACGTTACAACATCAATCAATCTTATGATCATCCACTCATACTTTTCATTTTAGCCAATCATATGACTTTGTTCGATTTGGTGGCGATTACATTTGGGTACTCCCATTTCGAATCGAATGAACATTAATATTGTGAATTCGCTATAAACCTTTTTAAAATTCGTGTTGTTTGTTTCACTATTGAATATCACTGGAGTTCTGATTGGTTGAATAAACTTGTCCTTCCAATCACATCCATTCAAAAATAGCGTCGATTCGTGATGCTTCGAGTCGATTCGGCGGGGTCGGCTGGAATTTTGTACCGATAAATCCACAATATAAAGTGCAAAAGGTCTTTTTTATTCCCTACGACGACCGCCACACGACGGACCGACCGGCCATTTTTAAAATGATTTTCTACCTGGTTATATGTGGTTAAATCGTGATTTCCAAGAGCGCGACGCCCACGAGGCAGTAGAGCACGATGAGCATGGCGCCTTCGAGCCAGTTGCTCTTGCCGTCGGCCACGACCACGTACACAATCACACTCGACACGACGTACGTCATGGCTTCGAACGCATTGAACGCGAGCGTCATGGGCTCGTTCATGAGCCACCCCGCGAGCACGCACACGGGCACGACGAACAGCGCGATCTGCGTTGCACTGCCGATGGCCACGCCCATGGCCAGCTCCATGTTGTTCTTGAGCGCGACCTTGATGGCCGTGATGTGCTCGACGGCGTTGCCGACGATGGGGAGGAGGATGATGCCTACGAACGGTTTGGGGATGTCGGCGTTGATGGTGAACCCGTCCACGGACGACACGAGGAACTCTGAAAAGATGGACACGAGCAGCGTCATGACGAGCAAGACGGCGACGGACCCTTGGAGCGACAGCTCCGGCTCCTCTTCGTCGTCGTCCCGCTCGGCAAGGATCACGCGGTGGGTCACGAGCTGGTACAGCATGAGAAGGATGTACATGAGGATCAAGAAGAGGGCAGAGATGTGAGAGAGGCCGAGCACGGCATCGTCGTTGTTGGTCAAGAGGGAAGGCCCGACGGTGGACGAAGGTTGGCTGTACTGGTAGTACGACGGCACCAACATGGCGAAACTCGACAGAAACAACAGCGACATGTTCACGGACGCGCTCTGGGCACTGAACTCGGACTCCTTCGCCCCGCCAATGTGCCCCGCGATGAAGCACGACCCGAGCACGAGCAGCATGTTGGACAACATGGACCCGATGAGCGAGCTTTGGACGAGCGCGACTTCGCCGTTCCGGAGGGCGAAGATCGCGATGATCACTTCCACGGCGTTGCCGAACGTAGCGTTGACGAGCCCACCGATCGTGTCACCTGCGTGGAAGGCGAGGGCTTCCGTGGCGTCGCCGAGCATGCTTGCCAACGGAAGCATGGTGAGGAAGTTCAACACAAACACGGCAATGTCGCCCCATTCCGCAAGGTAGGACCACACTGCGAACGGCGCAAACACCAGAAACAGGTTCACGTACGATCCCACGAGGATGTTCCACACCGAGTGGCCAAATGACGGTGGCGTTGCAGTCGTCGTGACGGGAAGGCCGTCGACGACAAAGGTGGCAGTGGAGGGGGACACTGTCGGGGTCGCTTCCAAAAGCCGCGTGGCCTCATCGACGCCATCTTCTTGCTCCATGCTGGGCGTCCGCAAGAACTTGGACGCTTGTCGCTTGATCATCCTCGTGAGCAACAACGACACGGCTTGAAATGGACGTTTTCCGCGAGCGGTCGGCGACGGGCCACGTTGGGTGCGAATTCCCTTAATTCTATTGAGTACACTGGATATTTTGCACTCCCCAATCAATCTAATCGCCTTGATTTTGTATTTCACGGCAATTGTACTTTATCAAGGGAATACAACACAGTAATGCCAGGTGAATCTCTCATCGTAAATGACAATGGTCCAAATGATTGGCTAAAATACTGTCGAATATAGAAAATACACATCATGGATTGGTGCATTGTTTGACCAAGCAATCATACCGTACGAACAACGAGCCCATTGCTACTTGTGTATTGTGGTAGGTATCCCTGAAGGTTAAACTCATTAGTACATGATACACACAGTTAGTAGCTGTTGTTAACTCATACTAGTACTACGTAGTAATGTAGTAGTAGTAGTTACTAGAGTCGAGACTGATGAGCAAATGAACCGAGGTGAAGCAAGTAAAGTACCGGTTGCACTGTATTGTGGATTCGATACTATGAATTTCCAGACCCCGTTGAATCTCGCCGCCGACTCGAATCACGAATCGACGCTATTGGCTAATCCAATTTTGAGTAGATTTGATTGATTGGCTCTTCCGCAAGTAGATTCAACCAATCAAAACTCCGGCTTGATTCGAATTTTGGAAGTTTACAGCGAATTCACAATACTGTAAATCAAATCGATTAAAATAAACTGAAAAACCAGGGTGAAATAAAAGTAAATAATAACTGAAATTGGCACAATAATTTACAAATTGTTTGATAAAATTCACAACCCACTTGGTGTAGAATACAGAAATCGAAGTTTGAACATTATCCTTGGAGCGAGTGCCCACGATGGACCACATTGCGTACCAAGGCAGCACCATCTATGACGCTGCTCTCAAGGGAAACTTTCCGCTAGTCGTCCTGTTGTGGGGTATGGTCGCAGCCCAGCAATCGAGTCCGTTCACGCCCGACGAGCACAACAACTCGATCGTCCATTTTGCTGCGGCAGGTGGCAACGTCGAAATCTTGCACTTCTTCGCGCAGCAGGCCATGCTCGTGAGCCCAAACGTCACGACCATCATGGATGCACTCAACAACAACGGTGAAACTCCACTCATTCGCGCGGCGCACGTCGGGAATTCCTTGGCGGTCAAAGTGCTCGTGGACATGGGTTGCAACATGATGCACCAAGACGCGAATGGGAACACTGCCGCTCATCACGCAGCACACGAAGGGCACTTGTGGACGCTGCATTACTTGCTGGAAGCGCAAGTGGTTACCGATACGGAGAGCGTTCGTGGCGGCCAATGCTGCATGAAGCGCGATGTTCTGCAATGGGCGTGCGAAGGAGGTACGCCCCCACGTCCATCTATCTCCATGCCATAGTAGAATCATTCGGTGTATGTGTAGGAAAAGAGCAAACGATAAACTACATCTTGAACCGAGGCCACAACCCCAACATTCCCGACATCGAGGTATTTGTATATAATGTCTTTCTTTTTCCCAATATTTGGACTTTTGTTCATATTCGCCAAATCTATCGATTGATTCATTGTACTGACTTTTGTAAAGATCGTCCAGTATCACACTAATTCCAATCACACACTAATTCGATGTTGAATTTTTCGAAGAGTGGGCTTTGATTGGCTAGTTGATTCATGAGTTTTGTGTTTTGATTGGTCGATTTTTTGATTCTCTGCCTTCGATTTGGTTATTCTGCTCATTGAGCACTCTAATTTCGAATCGAATCGAATGAACCAAGTACCATCCTCAATGGATTGGCATCGCAGGGTCGAACAGCTCTCCACCACGCCACGCTGGATGCAGACAAGGACTTGATCAAGAAACTCGTGTCGTATGGCGCCGAGACCAACGCGTCCGACGACCGCGGCCTCACGGCGCTCTCCACGGCCAACAACCTGGGCCGACACACGATCGTGAATATGCTTCTGCACACATCTCGTCTGTCCAATGACCTGAACCCGGTGCCCAAGGTTTGCTACTTAGTACGTGGCTAGTAGTGTACTAACAGTCATGGAATTGTACTAGTCGTTTGGCCACCGTCGACGCACAAGGCTTCACGTCATGGCACTGTATGCCGTCCTATGGGTCGCCTGTTTGAGTCTCAGCTACGTCGCGCCATGGTATGTTGTTTTCTCCACTTATTTTATTATATATATATTGCAAAAAGATATGGAATATATATTGCAAAGAAATAGGAATATATATTGCAAAAAGACATGCATTCATTGTTTGAAATGAACTTGTATATATTATATATTATATTATATATATAGAAGTATTATGAAATTCATGTATTTTTTTTGAGATTGTTAGAATTGGATCGAAACGACTGATGTGGGACTTAGGTATTTGTTCCTCCCGGGGCTGCTAGTGGCCATGGTTTTGTCCATGCGAAGCATGGCGAAGCGTAACCACAAACATTCCAAAGACCTCAAGACCAACATTCCGTTTCCGCCGCATGTCGCCCTCACGCTGGTGCGCCACACCCGCGGCTCGGTCTTTGGTAGGCAAAACACACACAATTATTCATGCAAATATCTCGTTCGATTGGATCGGTTGAACTTTATGTTTATATATTATTTTTTAAACGGTATTATCGTTTTAATATTATTGTTTTTCAGAAATCCAAGAAACTCAAGTCGAACTGCACCGTCTTCTGCAAGAAGAACGGCCGTTGCATCCCCTGGGGAAGGCCTGGCGGTGGTTAAAAGGGCAGCCGGAAGTGGCCATCGGACTCTGGCTCGGGTGGTTCATTGGGTTCTCCGCCTCTTTGGGCCATCGTGTGTACGTGGACATAGGTACCTACCTACCTACATTCCTACCTACCTACTTACGTACATTCTTCATCGTTTAGACGTGTTTATTTGTGTTTATAACACGTTCTACGTGGTATATTGTAGCTGCAGACACGTTGGGGTTTTGGAACGACCATGTTGTGGTTTTGGGGGTGTTGGTGTCGTTGGAATCGATTTGCATGGTCATGTGGATGGTCCTTATCACAGGGGATCCTGGCCAAGTCGCGACGGCCGATAAGGACTTTCCCGTGCTACTACAAAAAGCCGCCAACGGGTTTGATCCGCTCGAGCACTTGCACTGTATCACATGTTTGGTATGAAAAGACTTTCTACGATATACTGGTCTACGATGGTTCTTTAATGTTTTTTATCGTTTTGTAAGGGTGGTGGGTCTGGCTCACTTTTTCTGTCCAATTATATAGTTTTTTTAAACTTTTTTTTTTCATTTGGTAGTCATCATAGTTTCGACAGTCTGGATTAAAACAGGTTTCAAAAGACACTCGACGTCGATTCTCCGTTATGGCGGATTTTTTACGTGATATTTGGCCCCTAAAAGAAGAAGAATGCACCAATTGCTCCACATTTTGGATCGAGACAGCGAATTTATATACTATTGTTTGCCCCTTTGATTGCCAAACTATCATAGTTTTTGGCGTTGTTTTTTTTACATTTTTTATCGACGCACCTTGAATAATTCAATTTGGACTGTTTGAATTTGGGTATCGATATACATGTTTCATTTGGGTATGGATATATCTATCTATCTATACAGTACCTATATATTTATGTTATATATATATCTATATTTGTGTTATATATCTATATTTGTGTTATATATTTATATTTATGTTATATATCTATATCTATATTTGTGTTATATATCTATATTTTTATGTTATATATCAATATATCTAGGTGGCGAAACCAATCCGATCCAAACACTGTGCATCGTGTGGGATGTGCGTGGCTCGCATGGATCACCACTGCATCTGGATCAACACTTGCGTGGGGCTGCACAACCACCGGCTGTTTGTATTGTTTTTGATTGGGCACTGGGCCGTCTTGGCGCTGTATTTCACACTCGTTGTACTGTGTACGTCTATATATTCTGAAGAGTTTTTGTATCAAACAACTACTGAAATGTCTTGAATAGATCTCCAGTCCAAGCACTTGTATGTCGAGCAGTTGCTGCATACCGCCTTGCCTGAAGTGACCGTGGTGGGATGGGCACTGGTCAGTGGCTTGTTCCTTGCCAAGTTGCTGTGGGACCAACTCAAGGGCGTGGTATGTTAGTTGCCTTGTGTGCTAATGTTGTTATGGGTTGTCATGGTAGTTAGTATATTATTTCATGTGTGATTTCCTTGTAGATGCGCAATGTGACTGTGAACGAAGCCATCAACTGGAAGCGATACTCGTATCTAAACCGCGACGGGACGTTGGTGAATCCGTTTAATTTGGGCTGGCGAGCCAACGCAGCCGAGTTTTGGACTCGGTCCGTCGACTACTTGACTCTTATGACCGCCCCAGTTAAGACGACAACTCAACAGGATCAGTAATAACCCACCTCCACAAACTAATACAATGAATTCTCCTTCTATTGTAGTAATAACACACCTCCACAAACTAATACAATGAAATCTCCTACGTACATATCGATGGACTTGAGTGTTGCAGCTACTGTATACTGTACCGATAATGGTCACCGACTCATCCTTGCAACTATCCGTATACTAACTAGTAATGATACATGTAGTGACCAATTCAATTGCAGGTTAATCGCTTCAGTGACTTGACACTTGGATATAATACACCTCTTGGGGTATAATAAACCTCTTGGGGGCTTAGGCTGTGGCCGACTCGGTGGGGGACGCGTGGAGGGGCAGCGCTTGCTCCGTGTCCTTTTTCGGCTTTGGCTCGCCCAATTCAATGGCCTTTTCCTCCTTGGCAAACGGCGTCGACTGCCACAGCTCTTCAAATTCCTCGGGGGTGCCTACTGGGTCAATCGTGTCAATCGTGTCAATCGTGTCAATCCACTACTACTATTACTACTGCTATTACTAGACCCTACCAGTCGAACACTTGACTTCGTGCGTGCCCTTGTCGCTGTACTGTTCCCGATTCCACTTGGACAGCATCTTACGCCCGTTCACGTCTCGCGCGTGCATGGCCTTCAACCGCCCCGTGGAATCTTCATAGCGACGGCGGACGCTCTCCACACGACGCCCCTGTTATCACCAGCCATCCATCATCACATCAACTAGCTATAGGGGGAGCTACAAACACAACAACGTACGTCGCTGTCAACGAGGTAGGCGCTGCTGTACGAGTAGTTGGCATAGGGCAACGTCGTCGTCGTGTCCTTGGCGGCTTCTTTCGTGGCTTTGCCCTCGTATTCGTCGGGAAAGTCCTGGAAAAACTCGCGCTCCTCCTTCTCCAACTGCTCCAAGTTCCACCCCCACGGGATCAGCTTGAGCGATTTCATGAGCTGGCGCTCCAACTTGTCGCCCTCGAGCAGCGACTGCTCCAACGCCGCGGCGGGGTGCCAGTTGGACGGACGCAAGAGGTCCCACACACCCCGGCGCGGCGCAAAGGCCTTGGCGGTTGAATGCACTGCTCGGCGAAACATACCAAAACTACAAGTGGCCACTGAATGGGGGATTCTCACGGTCGCTCCAACTGCCCTCGTCCCACCAATGAAATAATCTCGCCGTTGGAGCATATACAGCGTGGGAAAGGGCGGGGGTGGTGGATGCTGCTCAACTGTCTGGAATAGATTGGCAAATAAATTTATATTGCTAGGGTGTTTACTTTTGCGCTCTTGTGCCACTGCAACCATCATCGTCAAGTAACTTAGTTTATTTACTGTTAACCGATCGACCTTGGTGTAGCGGAAAGCGTTCTCGCATAAAGGAATTGGCTTTCACAGTCTACGTAAGTTTCGTTAACTTCAAAAAATATCTAATACGCAAAGTACATCAAATCAGGCTTTGGATTACGTTGTAATTGTACAGTACTTGAAGCCCCTCCTTGGTTTTTGTTCTCGAGTTTGTGAGAAATTTCGTCGCATCGGTTAGCGCTTGTAAATTGTAGGCCAATAGAAAATAGGATAGAAAAAGGAAGGTAAAAAAAATTCGAAAAGTATAAATATAATATTAAATTGATTATATATTTATGACCAATCAAAGGTTCGGTTTATCCGAAAAAGTGCAGAAAGTACGGATAACCAGGACGCGGCGTTTGATTGGCTTGTGCTGGCATTGGAATTGAACGATTCATTGTTCGGCACGATGATGATGCTTCAGCTGTCCCGGCACTCTGCCACCGCCATGTTGCGTCGAGGCGCGTTGGCGGCACGCTTTTCCAGCGAGAGCATGGTGACCAAGACCACCTTCTCAGGTCCAGGACTGTCCGAATTCATTCGCAACTCCAAGGAAGAGACGACGGCACCTGTCGTTGTCGAAGAAAGCACCATGAACATGCCGTCTCGAATCACAGAGTTGTCCGAGATCGAGACCACGGTCCCGAAATCCTTCCACATCGAAACGTATGGGTGTCAAATGAACTCGTCGGACTCTGAGATCGTCCGCGCCATTTTGCTCAAGCATGGGTACGTACTACTGTACTACGCCTCCCGTTATCTACCGTTTACGATGACGATGCGCGTCCTAGGTACATTGACCAACCGTCCAGTGACGACGCCGACGTCGTGCTTCTAAACACGTGCGCCATCCGCGAGAATGCCGAGTCCAAGATCTGGCGCCGCCTCGAAGTGTTCAAGCAGAACAAGCTCAAGGCGCGCAAGCAGAAAAAAGGCACGCCGACTCAAACGGTGGGCGTGCTGGGCTGCATGGCCGAGCGGCTCAAGTCCAAGCTGCTCGAGTCCGACAAGATGGTCGACCTCGTTGTGGGCCCCGACGCGTACCGGGACCTGCCCAACCTCCTCGGCATCCTCACTCAGGGCGCCCAAGACACGGCCGTCAACGTCCAAGTACGTGGTTCTTGTCTGGGAATATATATATATATATATATATATACGCAAATCTTCCAAAAGGGATACTATATATATATATATATATATATATATATATACATATGTCTCCCTTTTGGAAGATTTGCGTGGATGATGAATATTTATGTTCATACTATTTATACCAATTCAGTGATATTATTTATATCAGTACATTAATATTAACGTATTGATTCTATTTATTAATATTGATACATTGATTCTATTTATAATATTGATACATTTATTCTATTATAATAGTAGATTAGTATGAATACATTGATTTTATTTATATCAGTACATAAAACATATATGTATTATTTATATCAGTACATTGATAATTAATATATTTATATATGAACGTCTAATTTGAATGAATCGTAGCTATCGCTGGACGAAACGTATGCCGACATTGCACCCGTCCGGTCCGACGATTCGAACCCGGCGGCGTTTGTGTCGATCATGCGAGGATGCAACAACATGTGCTCGTACTGCATCGTGCCATTCACACGAGGCCGCGAGCGGTAAATATATATATTTTTTCCCAATATATAAAAAGGATAACGAACCATCATTTTGGGATATCGTCGTACTCTTTGAATATGGCTTGTTAACGACTTTGGTGGTGCATAGGTCCCGCGACGTCCATTCGATCGTGGACAACGTCAAGGTGTTGCGCGACCAAGGCGTGAAGGAAGTGATGCTCCTGGGCCAAAACGTCAACTCGTATCATGACAAGCACACCCAAGGTACGTTTCTTGGCTTTATGCATCACGTTGAACAGGAACGAGGTTGGATATGCGAGCAAGTATGTGACGAAGTCGGCTATCGTTTAAATAGGCGCACAAGACGAAGGTCGGGCGTACGTGTCGGCCAGTGGCTTCACCAACATGTATAAAGCTCGTGATGCCCTGGTACGACACCAAAAATATAAGCATCTTCGATTCATTCGTGTGCTAGTGGATGTACATATATCTATCTATTCAGTCTATCTTTCAATTAATTGTGAAACCACATATATATATATATATATATATATCAAGGGCATCCATTTTCTACGTTTCGTAATATTTATATATATATATCGTAATATATATATATTTTTCGACAGGGCTACCGTTTTGTGGACTTGCTGGACCGGGTGTCGGCCGTGGACCCAGAGATTCGCATCCGCTTCACGTCGCCCCATCCAAAGGACTTTCCCGACGACGTCCTCCACCTTGTGAACGACCGGCCCAACATTTGCAAAGCGATCCACATGCCCGTGCAGCACGGTCATTCCGACGTACGTCGTACATGTTTAAGATGACGAGCCTCATCCACACACAAAAATACATTGTCACAGGTCCTTGCGCGTATGCGACGAGGGTACACCCGCGAGGCGTACTTGAATTTGGTCGACAACATGCGGCAAGTTCATATCCTATTGCATGGACCAGTCCAATAACGATGAATGGTTTTGATATTAGATCGATCATCCCTGGCATTTCGCTCAGCTCGGACTTTATTGCGGGGTTCTGCGACGAAACCGACGATGAGCACGAGGCCACGGTAGGTACTACATATACATCATCAAGGCGACGATCCTCTTGCTATCTTTTGCTTGGTTCTGCTTTGTGCGAATTTCTTGGCATGCCTTGAAAATGTATTTACGGCTGCTCTGTCGTAGCTTTCGCTGATGCGCCACGTCGCATACGATCACGCGTTCATGTTTGCATATTCGATGCGCGCCAAGACACACGCGGCCCACCGCATGGAAGACAACATGGTATGGTCTTTCTTTGACCCAAAATTTGGCTGACTTTTGTGCTGAATCGCCAAATCTATCGATCAATTATTCTTTGTACTGATATATTTTGTATGTAAAACGTTGTCCTGTGGTGTTTGATATCACACTAATTGAAGTCACACACTAATTCGACGTTGATGATGGTTTCCTGAAATCTGATTGGCTAAATATGGCTGCCGATGAGATTCTTGTGTACATTTGATTGGTTGTGTAGATTGTTCATTCTCCATGTCGATTCTCCAGTTTAAAATGAACACAACGTGGTATTGTGGTATATTCGATACGAATTTCCAGACCCCGTCGATATCGAATCACAAATCGACGCTATTGGCTACTCCATTTTTGAGTGGATTTGATTGGCTCGAAAGGACATATATATTCAACCAATCACAACTCCAGTGTGATTCAATATTGGATGGACAAACCAGGCGAATTTTAAAAGTTTAAAGCGAATATTCACAATACTACTGTCAGACTCCTTTCAATGTCAAGTGTTGTATGACTGGGCGTAGTCTTATTGTCCTTGCAGTCCAAACAAATGTTTGCCGTTTGGGTTTGTATGGACCAAGTGCCGTGTATGCGTGGTTGTGCGTTTTCCTTCACAGGAATATAAGAGTCTTACATACTAAAATGCTGACTAGTAGGATTTCTCGTGCATATATTTATTTATTTATTTGTCATTGGGCTTTAGATGATATGCATGGTTGTTGTTAAGAGTGAATTTGATTGGCCATACTATGATATGAGAGTTTTGGATTGGTCGATCGATTTTTATTATTATGTGTCCATGTTTTGGTGCTGCGGCTGCTCATTTCCGATGGAGATATATGCACCCCAATCTCGATACTACAATTGAATCCTTTGATTGTGTTTATTAGGAGGAAGCAACCAAGTTGAGACGCCTGGCCCAAGTGATTGACACGTACAACACTGTCGTGACAGCCAAAAACAAGGTGGAGGACCAAGGCCGGCTGCATATTGTGCTGGTCCAAGGCACGAGCAAGCGATCGGCGCTCAACCTCACGGGCCTTACCGATACAAGCAAACGATGTGTCTTTGCTGGTATGATGAAGCTGAAATTTAGACTGGGCAGCTGATGCAAGAATCGATTTGTGTCAGATTTGAAGCCGCTTATGTAGTGTATGATATACACATTGGACGATGACCATTTTGACTGGGCCAAATTATGTGGGTCAAACTATCCTATGATTGGTTGAAATGTCTCGTTCGTGAAGTTTGATTGGCTAGGATATTCTCAAATACACTTTGTCCATTTCCTTTAGAAGTCGTCCATATTGGACCAGATTTGACAATATAGATCCTCATGTGTGGATAAATACAGTATATATCTCTGTTAACTGGTACTCTGGATTGAAATGTGAAATGAACACGTTCGAAACACGACGATTTTCAAATTAACTTGAAGCATACTTTGTTTCATATATATTCTGGTTTGGATAAAGGAAGATGATGGGTGGGGGAGGGTAGACATGATGATTGAATCATTATATTGTATACTCAAGGGTAGTATAATTCATCACCTTATGGTCACTATACTATAGTTGAAGTAAGTTTAATGTTTCATTTTGAAGTGAACATTTTTCATGTTGCGATGTGAAACTGCACTTGTGAAATCTTATATTTCTGCATTTCACATTGACTGGAAATTCTTTCAAATTGAACGGGAAATGGTGTAGGCGGTCTTTTTTCTTTAATATTATTGCTGTATTCGGGGTTTTTGTCAAAACGATGCAAAAATTGAATCGACGTTCGGTAGATATTCCTGTGGTCCCGGAGGCTTCGATGGCGTGGAACCCTAGTACGCTGGACTTTGTACCGACCGATAGCACGGGTCCAAAGGTGGCGCTGCAGCGGGGCGACTACGCGCTTGTCCGCGTACATGAAGCAGGGCGACACACCCTGCATGCTACGCCCATTGCTCGCACGACGCTGTCTGAGATGCATCGCTTGGCGCCAGTGGGACTGCTGGGGTATATATATATATATATATTCGATTTTTTGTCGTAATGTGACAATGTAGGGCGCGACCGCACAACTTGGCTGCTCTTATGCTCTGACCAATAACAACGAAAGCGTAGAACGACCATCGTCGTGATTTTTTAAAATCGGGAATGTATATAATACAACTACCACTCGGAGCTTATTTGGACGAGTGTTGAACGATGATCTACTATATACAGTATAACCAACCAGAGGCCACTACTATTAATAGTCGAATATCTGCCAATCCTACTAATTGGACCAAACGGATGCAAAATCGATTTGGCGAAATTGAAGAACCAAAAGTCCAAATTTGAGTGAAAAGCAGCATAATATGAGCTCGCGTTTAGGTTGACGACGCCGCGGTAACTGCGTCCACTACCATGGCCACTACACAGCATTTTAGGAGAGACATGCATCGGTGCGGAGATGGACGAACAAGTGCGAGTGAGTGTACCGTAGTCCGCCTTGATGTGGCCGTGGACGGAACTCGACAGCCATCGCGCCTGCCTGGCTTGCAGGTCCGAGACATTCCAGTATTCGAGGTGTTGGCCCAATCCCTTTTTTCGACCCGCTGTGCACTGCAGGTTAAGCAACCAAGATCCAGTAGTCGGTAGGTATATATATATAGAACTGACAAGCAGCAGCAAAAGCCTCTCGTCAAAAGGATATTCTCGCTCGTACATCGTCAGCACATTCTCCATCCACTCCATGAGTTCCACCACAAACAAGTGCTGGTCCACCACTGGCTACGCAAACCCCACCACCTTATGGATTACCTCCCAGAGACTACGTGATCTTACCAATTGATCCAATACATCCGCGCACGTGCTCATGGCTCGCTGCATGTTCTCCACACGGTCGAAGAAGCCTTGGCTACAGAAGTCTAAGTGCCAGGGGAATGTGTAGCTGGCTGCTCACATGACTTGGGCGATGTAGGTGCTCGTCTTCTCTAAGGATTCAAAGTGGCGTTGTTGTAGCAGCACACGCACGTTGTCCATGCTGTCCAACACGCCATACTTGGTCCCTTTCTCGCTCATCACATGTGGCAATCGCTCCGCAATATTCACGAGAGATGAGAATCCTTGCTGCCCCTGGCGTTCCAGGACCTTGCACGCTTCGATCTGCTCATGATAATAGTGATGGTGGCATGCCTACCATGGTCGGCTTGGCTATACCTCTTCCAGAAATGACTTGTGGAGCTTTACCACTTGCCGCTTCTGCTTGTCGCTCATGTTTGTTATTGTGCTTGGCCAACAAGTGAGGTTATCCGGATATAACATCTGATTGGACAGGGACCTATCCGGAAAACCCTGTAGAATGAAACCGCCGTAACCGGCTATTGACAGTGAACGCATGGAGATATGGACGGCTTCACGGAACGGCAATGTCGACGCCGTGAAAGACCTGCTGGACGAAAGCAATGCAAATGTGCACAAAGTGCGATGGGTACAGTAGGCATATTACCTGTGATTTTGTGCTCTCGTGACCAGAATTGCAACCTCTAGTCGGGAGTCACGGCACTACATCGAGCCTGTGAAGGTGGGCACGTCGCCACCATTGAAGTCTTGCTCGATCGAGGAGCAAACATCAATGCTAGGAGCACATGGGTACGTCGATGTAGATTGAGATTGACCTTATCTACTAGTGCATACAATACTCCTACACCAGGGTTGGTATTCGCCATTGCACGTGGCCTGTCGCTATGGCCAAGAAGCCACCGTCAAGTACTTGCTAGTACGCGGCGCTGACTGGTCCATAAAAGACAAGGTATGGTCGAGAGAACAATCTCCCCGCACTATTTATTATGTAAACACTTACTTTAGCGCAAGTTGACGCCATTCAAATATGCTGTGCGGGCGGGGCATGCTTCCATGGCCCATCGCATCGATGAGGTTGATATCGACATGACGTGGCACGTTATACACCCAACACGGCGATTCGTAGTGGAATGCAGCGCGGTTAAAAGGTCCAAATTAACCGTCCAGGTCCAGGGCATACTCGGACATGACTTCCGTGTGTGACGCTTCGACGCTGGGTTGGGAGGATGAAGAGGGCGTCTTGCGCAGTTTCTGAAGGAGCAGCACCAGACAGACAACGATCACACACAGGACTAAGCACGCTGCCATCATGGCCACGGCACGGCTAGATAGCGAAGCTCGGATCTCTAGTTGTCGAATGAGCATAACGTCGTTATAGAGTCATACGCTCATGCGATCTGTATGTACCTCCCAAATCAACCCTTCGTACTTCGGGCAAGTGGTCAACGGATGGGCCGATGGCTGCATAGACGACGTCGGGTAGTAGCCATGCCAAACCAGCTAGAAATAGCGGAAATGTGGTGGCGAAGGCATGTGTCATCGAATATATACACCGCTCAAGAATGACGCAACGCTCGGGTTTAGAAGAAATGACCTAGTCGAATCTCGAACAAATTTCGATTTGTTACGATAAAACAACCATATTTCTTTGCGATGGTACTGGAACGTTTTACATAGAACGAACGTGAACGTTCTCTTTACGTTTCGTCTTGTCGTGTGGTTGAAAACCCCATTGAAAAACTGAACGGAGTCGACATACTTCGAGGTAGTATGTACTAATATGTGACAGGGTGGGTCGGGTTGGTTGAAACTATTTTCAAAAGTCTTTCGTTTCACCACACTCGCCACCACATGATGGTGGTTAAACCAGGCAAACAAATCCCGGTGGTTGAGCAGTGCAGAGGACCCTTGAGGCTGGCACTCGTTAGGTGGCCCAACGCTCGACCCTGATGGGACGCCTCGGCAGTCATGTAGACCACAATCACCAGCATGACTCCCCCCAGAGGGGGCGGGGGGGTTCTTTGATCGATGCTTGGCCAGCAACGCAGCCGCAGTCCCGTCCATTCGAAACGGGGGTCGAGGGTCCACTGGTACTTTTCTTAACGTTGAATTTGGTTTTTAGATGATCAGTAGCAATGTGTCTTTAGCGACATCTACCAACTGATATTGGTTGTATACTCCATCCATCAGCACCTTCAAACGCTGTCGCATGTACGCCATGGTCAGAGTACGCTGACTCTCCTTACTTGTGTCTGGGATCCATCGATACCTCGCAACTGATGTGTCAATCTGTTCATCAAAATCGATTCAATTGCCCCTTAAGGTGCGGTGGCGGCTATACAAAGTATTCGAGGTCGGATAGCGAGTTAGCAGTCTGTTTTTGGCTCGCTTGACAAAGGCTTCATGCCCGGCCGATATACTAATAATCACTTCTTTCAAATCGTCAGAGCTCTGCATCTCCACAGCAGCTTCGGTGCTGACCTCTTCAACTGCTGAAAGCTCGACGAACACGTGGAAAGTTCTGGGGGGTGATGGCGGCGACTACTCTCCAAACTGCTCTTGGTCATCCATGGTCCAAAACGGTCGCGTCACTTCGAATTCAGTGCTGGCACCATCCCGTAAAAAGACATCGACATCGCAGCCGTCCTGCAGCCACTCGCCATGCTTCCTACTCGTCAACTTTGCTCGGTGAACCTTGAAGTGACTCATCATGCACGATAACCACCTTCAGATCGTACACTTCCGTGCTACATGCGATCTTGACGGGAAACATAATTCCTTCGCTATGCACTTGAAGATACACTAGATAGTTTGCATTTGACAATAATAATGACGTAAAACCTGTTAGAATTCCCGAAATGTGGTTAGAGCGCTCTAAACAACCAAACAACACCACCGAGTTGCAAAAAGTCCCGACATTTTGCACTATAAACCGAGTCAACAAAAATCGAGTGGTGGTTTGGTTGGCCCGAAGACTGCGTTGGACTTGATTGTGGCATCGGTGGCAGAGCTATTTACCTGTAAGACAAAGGAGTGGATTCATGCCTTTCGTAGTTCAGTTGAATGACTTTGAAATGAAAACTGACCTCGGATCCTTCTTCCATCCCGCGCGCGATGGATCATTTCAAGGAATAATATGTGAGATTTTAGTACAAATCAACGGCCTGTGAACCGATACTAGTGTCACAAATCTCGCACTGCCGAGCAGAACATATCACTAAGATAGAGCTCAAATCAACATCACTCGAAGGCGAATGCTCCCATCGACTACTCACAGCCATCATATCGAACGTATCGGACATCGACGTCCTGTAATGTTCACTACTATTAGTGGTAGTGGCAGAAACAGAGGGAGCGTGAATGAAACAGGGGCCTTGGACGGGGTGCGTGGGAAGTGGCCGCGTATTTCGAACCAAGACGATATTCACACGCAAGTTTTGACTTTTCACTTTACTTCAGCCAAGTACATGGCAATATGCACTATGTAAGAAACCTTATGACAACAACGATTGATTTTGATAATTTCCCCATATCTAGCACATTGATCCTGCCATATTACGCCGTGTGATTGAGAAATGCCGTGAAAATCGCCAGGGCGGTGCGCGGCTGGTCTTGAGGCACCATGTGTCCAGCGTTGAACACTCGATAAAACACCAATAGGTCGTGCGCTCGTCGTTCCCCCACCTACGCAGCCGTACCCCATGCATTGCATTCTCCATCACGAAATCACGGTTAAGGTTGGCTGGTTTACCTGCACATGGTCGATGAAATGCGGTTGTAGAGGTGCACTTTTGTAGCCATGGGCGCCGTGCCAGTGCAGATGCTCGGGCCAGGCTTGGACGCCGCGCCAGTTGCACTGCAGATCGGCGTCGCCTGCCACGAGCACCACGGGCACTTTGGCGTTTAAGACTGTGTCCACATACGGGGCGTAGTTGGTCGCAATGTCTGTGGCAAAGTCAGTCATGACGTTGCCGTTCGACACGGAATACGACGGATGGTACGGGTGGACGCCGAGACGAGTTTGTACTCGAGCCTGGCTCAGAAACGCATCGATGGCAGTCATCTTGGCCGAGCACGACGAGACGTTGCAATCCTATACACGTGTTGCTTTGATGAGACCTACTGTAGGATATGACGGCGGGGGGGGGGTAGGTCATTGAACCTGTCGAATATCCAGCGAGTCGCGAGTGGTGTACTCGTTCACTTGCGATTGGAGGGCAATAAAGGCAAGGGTCGCGTTGGGGCAGACACTCGAGTCGTGTTGGCACGTCCGAGCCAAGTCCACCGCCGTTGTTTGCATGGTTTTGACAACCGAAAGCTGGTCATTGGGAACCAACGTCACGTTGTACGCGTTCTCAAATACCATGTCCAGTTCATGTTGGGCCTACGAGAATATATAGAGGTTCAGTAAACAGTCATGTGCAACGACATGGACGAATATGACACAAATCGTAAGACAAAAGTACAACCTGCACTTGCACGTTTGTGAGCCCGTTGACAATCAAAATGCCTTGCAAATTCAGCGCCTCAGACGATGGTTTGACGGCGTTTCCTTGGAGAATGGTGTGGGCGATCCCTGGAATGTAATGCCCAGCGTAGCTTTCGCCCGTGAGGTACAAGCGCCGGCGGTGCAACTCTGGATGTTGCGCCAGAAAATTCTCGAGAAAAGTGTGCACGTTCGGCCCCACTTGCGATGGGGGGGTGGGGGGGCCCTGGGAAAAGCCGACGTTGGCAGGCTGGTCGAGCCAAATGACGTTGGCGTGCGCATTCCACGCATGGGGATTGTCCTTGAGGGTCAACGTGTCCGGATCCAGCAGACACGGGCCGTTTTCAGCCAACAACCCAATTAGACTCGACGCCCCAGGGCCCCCGTTGAGCCACAATACGAGGGGATCCTTAGTTGGGTTGTCGCGAGACTCAAAGTACCAGTAAAAGTACTTGGTCGCGTTGGTGACTTGCAAGTACCCCGACAACTGCCGCACCGAGGCGTCGCAAAGGGGTTCTACCCTTGTGGACGAGAGGGAGGGCGTGGCAAACACGGTTGCTTGGGCCGTGAAGCCGACCCCAATGCACCCCGCCAAGGCCAAAAGAAGCGACCACCACGGCCATTTGGAGCGCTCTCGAATGTCCACGGCATCACCGTGCGGGGCATGCAGTGGCAGCGCTTGGTAGGATGTGGTTTGCTGGGGCTGGCGTAAGTGGGCATCCATGGGAAAAGTGGAATTTCAAACTAAGCTCGTCATTATGCAAAGTTGTGAAAAACGTATGCATGGACAGTGAGCAGCACCAAATCGGCAGTCAATCCATCGACCAATCCAAACCCAGATCACTAATCAAGTGGCCAATCAAATCCACTCTTCGACCATTTCACTATTGAATTAGTATGTGACTTTAATTAGTGTTGCACATAAAGTTACAAAATTCAGTGTAACGTTGACGTCAGTAGTATCGATACTTCCTCTGTCCCAGCGACACCAAAACTTCATTTTCTGACCAAATTTAATGAATCCTACCATATCTGAAAGATAATTAAAATATGAAGGTATTGCCTATTGGCTGCAACGCGAAAAACAACCAATTTCGTGCTGTAAATCGGGCATCAGAAAAAAATACAAAATAATGGAGGTTTATTATTGAATTATTCTGGGGCCTTGGTTGTTTTGGCCACCTGTGGTGGGTGTTGCATGGAATGGAGGGCAGATATAACTACCGCTTGAAGCTGCAATCCCTGGAAAAGTACCGTAAGTGACGCATTGGAACTCTATGCATGAATCTCACCAACCGCGTTTGATTTCTCGGGGTTCTTCACCGTGAACTCGACGCGCCAGCGGCGTGTGTTCATTGTGCCGAAGTCATCATGTTGTGGCCGTAAAATTTTGTTTTTGTAACAACTCCAGCCAATGATAGCATTGTATTTTTCAGATTAGCCAATCATATTCAAGTAAAGTGTCCACACTAATATGGAACAAATACATTTTGCATATGTCCGCAGTAATAATTTGGAACAGAGGAAGTACTAAGTAAAGCAGAGGAAGTTTCAGAATGCGCTTGACCAAATTGAATCAGTCATGTCTGGCCGTCAAGATGGATTGTACGAGGTGCCTCTTGTTGAGGCGATGGGTTGGACTCAAGATGCGTGGAGGTCTATGTCGCAGGCGACAGTGACGAACTGCTGGGCTAGGACTGGCATTCTTGACGATGACCTGTCCAGGTTTAGTGAATTGATGGGTGGATTGGTGGTTGACAGTGGTGTTTATTGTTAGTTGGTCGTTGAAGTTTTATATATTGCGTCATATTATCAAACGTCTCCGTTTCGATACGACTCCCTCCGTGTCACAATAAGTGCGCGACTCAGAAAAATAAAGTATACCTCCTCGTATAAAAATACAAAACACTCCAAGATCCTATAACGATATGCATTTATAAAGGTGTAACGATACAACTGTCCAATCATAACAATCAAAATGCATGTCTCAGGACCAATCACGCGTCGTACCGTGGCCTGGTGGCAGTTGTACTTGGCTGCGAGTGTTTGACTGAGGCCATTGGGAAGCCTGACCAAGTAGCTGCTGTTGCTGTGCAGCAGCACTTCACGGAGTATGGCCTCGCGCTCGCTGTTCGTCACGTTGCGCTATTTGACGGTCATTCCTGAATGTTTGTCATTATGAGTGTTTGTTTTATATAAAGTATTTTATTGATGTATTGAAATCATCACA